GGTAATTTTTTAAAAAGACGACCCGACGTTTTTGGTAATATCTCGCGTTATAGTTGACCGATTTGATCGCGATGACTCGTAAATTAAAGGTAATTAAATTACATACAATTCTTTTGTACCTTGTTTTCCAATCGAACCAATAGTTTAGACAGAATCGAGCGAAACTTAAGAAAAATTTCATTTTTGGGGGTCGAAATTGAAATCGAAAATTCACTACATCGTCTGGAAAACACAGAAATTGTTATGTGACGTCCAGGTCCTTATTTTTTACGTAGAGTACGAACCTTTACGAAGTACTATAATCGTGTTTGTTGTTTTTAATAAACACATAAAATGATTAAACAAAGCTTACGCTACAGTAAGGTGGCAGTAATTGGGACATCTACCCTAGTAAATACACCAGTTTTTTTTCATATTATGTACCATCTTTTCCCCTACAAAATTCAAAATTCCGTCCCATTTTCATTTTCGATATTAGTGTCTGAAATTGCGATTTTGCATAAACTTCCAAATAATAAAAGTGGACTGATCGCGAGTAACGAGAAAAAAAAATGGACGACGCTTCGAGATAATCGACCGATCGAAATTGTCGAATATGAGTGGGGATGGCGGGTCGTGTCGATGGTAACGGAGAAAAGGGCTTTAATTGGCTAACTGGATCACTTGCAGCTGTTCCGGATGAATACCGAATAATACCAGGCCCCCGTGATCGCATTAACGCCCGCCTAAGGCCGCGAAGGGTGAATCTAATCGTGTCTCTAATAGCCGACGAAATGAATTAACATCGAAAGAGTTCGGTGTCCACGGGACCATTTCTTTTGTGAACGTAAATTAAGGACCTCACGTGATCGAATCGTCTTCGGTCACGCCGTGTCATCGACGACGTTCCCCCTATGTGGGTACAATTGACGGAAAGAATCGATGAAAAGAAAAAAAAATAATAAGGAAAGACTCGTCTAAATGTTCGTTCCATTCTGTAGATAATTTCGAAGAATTGTTCAAAGCCTCTACAACTTTAATGAAATTTCCTTTACACCCTGACAAAGATGTTCAGCAAGAGAATGGCAGCTTAAATTGTCTTCGAGTTACATCACGTGACTACAAAATTCAAAGTTTTATTTCTAAAAATTGAAGGCTCTAACAACAAATTATACGAACACAGTTAGGTTTTCTGGCAACGCTTCAAACTAGTCCACAATCAAAATTTATAGGCTCATTTAGCTGAAGCAATGAAAAACGTAGAAAATCATAATTTGTTTGAAGTAATAGTGCATAAATGAATACATTATTATCAATTTTAGGGATCCTCTTTGAAGACGTCATCGTTTGCTTAAAGTGTCCTCGATATCTTCATGAAAGTAAGAATTTTTAGGGAATTTTTTTTATTTTTTACTGAGATTAACAATAGGAAAGGAACCGAGGAGATAAATAAATGCATAGCTCAGGTCTTCCATGATTCATAATAAGTTAATGTCAGTGTTTTAGGAGAATAAGAGAAATTTCGTTTTTCACCATTTGAACTGCGAAATTTTGATTCTGCATCACTATGCGCCTGTACGCTGTAAATTTCATTTTTAACGAAATCCGTTTGAAACTCGTTTGAAACGCCAAGTCCGCCATATTGTCGATGAAAACCTAACCTATACAAATTGGTTTTGTCACGGAAATTCTTACATGTACAACTTATATAAAAAGAAAAAAAGAAATAAACCTTCTGTAACTAGGAAAAAAAGAAATGATAAGGTAATCCATTGTAAAATAGCTCCCGAAGAGCTTTAACCAAAACAAAGAATTGTTTATAACTTAGATAATAGTAATTTTTCGATCCATGTTGTATTAGGCCTCTTTTTCGTCGTTTGACGATTACCATCTACTCTAGAAGTGACGAACCTTTCTTTTTATCACCCTGTATAATCATTACTTGCGCTTCTACGAAACATTACGATAGGAGATCAAGACTGAAATTTGTTACTACATGTATCGTAAAACTGTCGTCGATGTTATAGGAAAAGGGACAAAAAAACTCACGCAAAGTGTGGGATCGATCTCGTGGATCACGTTTAAAACAGATAACGAACGGTTCAGCGTGAAAACACAGAGCCAGCGGCGTAGATGACATCGAGTCGACGGTTCCCATGTCTTCCATGAGTTTTGACGAGTTTTTTGTCGCGAGGGGACGTCGAGCACTGGGTGTCCGTTAATTTCTCATAATTAAGCTCAATCGAGGTTAATGCACCGCAGCTTGACCCTAGTTTACCAAATCCAGCGTTAAGATGGAACCAAGTATCTATGGTTTCTTCATCGATGTAACCGTTTGGCATGCGAATAAACCACTCTGCATATTTATTTCTGTTGAACGATCGAAAGATAATATATTTCTTTTTTTCTGTAATTACATTACACGATTCTTTATCGTTTTTACTGGATAAAAATGGGGTACGATGTTTGGGACAATAGAAAATAATACAATATTATTCGCGCGCCACTTCGTTATTCGCAATTAGGCTGCGGGACGTTTATGTGCATTTATTGCCTGTTTTGATTTGCAAAGCATAGTAAAATAAAAATTTCAAACACATATATATATTATTATTATTATTATTAATACATATTCTGAAGCCTCCAATCTCTCAAAAAATAAAATTCTTTCGAAATATCCTATCATCCTAATTGTATTTGCATAATCTTTTATATGTTATTATTACTACATATTCTGAAGCCTCCAATCTTTCAAACAATAAAATTCTTTCGAAATATCCTAATTTTTATATATCAGTATGTAAAATTTTGTATTTACATAAACTTCCGCACTCTATACACATAATGAATTTATTCAACGTTAACGACGATAACAGTAGTAAATTAGTAATAATCAACGCGATAAATAATCCGTTAATTTGATCGTTTTTTACTCAAACTTCAGTAGACATTTATCCACAGCATTAAGGATAGGTACATTTTTGTGTGAACGCTGTAAAAACGAAACAGCCTTTTTAGGATTTTGACAAAAGAAAACTATAACCATAAAAGTAAATAGTATACCCTGGGTTTATTAATATCTATACATTTTAAGATATGAAAAGATTTTTTTCATGTTCTTTCGTTTAATATATATATATCCTATTGCAAAAATCAGCAATGACTGTGTCGTTAAAAAAACGGATACCCAGATGGTTTACCTAAAATCTTTAGATCTACTCGTCTGCAATCGAAAAACCGAAGATTTTCTTTAAAGTTACAGGGATGGTAATCATGTCAAGAGATTCAGAAGTTTTGGTTAACACATACATGTCGTTATTTAACATTTTTTAATGTAAAAGGTCAACTATTTTTGGAACTTTTACAAAAACAGGTACCAATCAGCAAATTTTAAAAATAGAACATTGAATAAAAATGAACATTGTATTAATTTTCTGTCGATACAGGTAGGTCTCTATACTTTTGATGCAATACTAAGTAGGTATCGATACTTTTTTTTCGATACAAGTGATGAGTAAAAGTATCGATATCTTGACGCTATCGATTTATCCCTTTCGACAATTGACTAATTCTAACTAGATTGTATACCAAAGAGTATACCCCTGTATATAAATGGATAAACACATAAATATATAAGTAAATAAATAAATCAATAATATGGTTGTTCCATCGAGCATTAAAGGCCTGATGATAGCGTGTTTTTTTTATACACGGATGTACACGCCCATTTCATGAATTTTGCAGAATTTTTCCTGTTATCGCGAAACAGGAAATAAAAACGTTCCCACGGAAAGAAAACCGCGATCTAAAAGAACGCCGTGCGGGATCCGTCCGCGCGTGACCAGACCGGAAGTTATGGTGTTGTTTGGAAACAGCTTCCTGAAGCAAATCGGAAGCCCCGCGAAACAATTTCACTCGATTCTCGAGCGTTTACGTAATAACGGGCCCGCTGAAAATTTCCACTGCATTTATCTGAGATTGTAATGAAAATTTATCAAGTACATTGCTTAGATTTATATTAGTTATATGGATGCTGAAAATTTAATCGAAATCGGTTAACGTTGTTATGAGATACAAACGGTTAAAAATGTTGAAAATCGTAGTTTTTCGCGACTTTTGACCTACAACTGTAGTATATCTAAAGATTCTTACATTTTTCGATGTCTGTTACTCGTTTCTGCATTAAACGTTTTCAATAAAAGTTGCAGCATGTATATAAGAGACATAAATCTTCGAAATGTACTTATTAAATTTTCATTACAATCTCAGACAAAAAAAGTTGTAGAAAAACGGTATTTACTATTTTCTTCGACATTCTGAAAAGTCACAAATTTTTCAACATTTTTTTAACATTATTTAGTAAACTAATCCTTCTAACTTTACAAAGAAACCCAAGTCACTTGGTCCAATTTTGAAAGAGTTGTTCTGTTTTAAAAGGTGTACGAATACTTTTTTTACCCACTGTAGCTTAACGTTTTCGACCGTCAAATTAGAATGACCCCTTAATTTTTCGATATTGCTGTAAATAATTGTGAATTTCCATAAACTTCCACAGTCTATTTACCAGCAGGTATAAACATCCACGGTGTAATTATTACCATTAAAGTTTAACGGTTGGACGGTCCAGTCTGAATGCGTTTTGACAGGGACGGTTCGTCACTGTACGAGACTGGTGGAATTCATTATTATTTATGGGGTCACCAGAAGGGTATCTTTATTCGACGGAAGTAGGTCATCCAGAGGATTTACGAAGGACAGTGTATGTACAAGACCGAACATTCGTGCAATTGTCATCCGCAGTTACCCATGCTTCCCGATTCTATTGTTCACGATAAAAAACGTGTTACATTCGTCTAATACACTTACATAAATTATTTACAGCGATAAGATTCGAATGAAAGAGCACATAACATACATTCTTGAATTTCTTCTATTTGTTCGTCTATTTCCAGGCCACACGGTGATTGATCGAAGTCGAATGAATCAGACGGAACGGGGCAGAGGTGTTCGTCATCGTCGAAATGGACAATTTGGCCACGTGGTTATTACGCGTCTCGGAGAACAGCACCGAGAGGTACAGCGCGATAATCGATGGCGAGATATCGAGGTATGTGTACTAGAGATGTGCGATGTTGGTACCAATATCGATAATGCTTATCGATATATATTTTTTCGTTAAATATCGGCACATGGAAAGTATTATTCAAAAAGTATTGATACTCATAATATCCATACGAAAATCTTATTAATTTACCAATTAAACGATAAGCTTGCATATATTCAGGAAAATATCATTTTGGATAGAATAGAATTTTCTGAAACGAAAGTTTTTGCATAGTATTAAGAAATTATTTTATTTCAATTAAAATTCAAAGTATTTAAATGAAATCTAGTATTTACTTTTCAAATAATACTTATTTATTATTAGAAAATATACATAGAAAAACTTATAAATTCCAATCTTCTGAAGACAAGCAGGTTAAAAATAATAATTATTGAAGCTTGAGGAAACAATCTCTCAGATGGGATTAACATCGCAATTACTCGTTGCATTTATTCTTTTTTCAGGCAGTTTTCTTTCATTGCAAAAAATTATCGATTATTTGACAAACATTATCAATACCTGTAATTATTAGTTTCTAAAATGTCAATAGAAAATAACGATATATCGATATATGTACAAAGGCGAGTGGCCGAAGCTCGAACTTCGGACAAAAAACCTATTTACGAGAGTCTGAAGCATTTCCTTATCGACGATTATTGTCCCGACGCGGACCCGAGTTCGGGACAATAATCGAGAGGAGCCTGTATACAATTATCGATAAATGTCACCCATCAATAATTTGTATATTTACGGAGTTTCGTACACTTATGAGGGGGGAAAAGTAGAATTAATTGCAAGAATTTTCTTTCAGTGAGCAAAATTTTGTTATCAACAAAAACATTATGTATACCGAAAGGGACATACTTCTGTCTCTGAAATGCTGAATTTTCATTAAAAGAATTCGAAGAAGAAGCGAGACATGGTGACTGTTTTCGTATGACGAATTTTTCAAAAAAGGCGTCTACGGAAACCATCACTTTTTTGTTGTTTATTTTATTAGAAACCAAATAGGAAAACTTATTCTTAAATTAGGCAAAGATCTAATAGGTATCTACTTGTAGTCGATTTTTTTTTTTTTTAATTTTTCGCAAAGTGGCAAACATTTGAATATAGAAGTAGATTTTATGACTGAAAATATGAACTTCTTTAATTTATAAAAAAATAAACTATAATGTTTAAAAAGATCCTACGACAAAAGCTGAAATAATGATATAAAAAATCCCTGTACCCAATATAAAACGATATCGAACGTACATTGCATACTTGTCACGGTCTGTTTAATTTCTACCTGCATGCAAATTATGTATCGAATAAACGAATTTGTACATTTCCCGTCAGTAGATTCCCGAAGACGCTGAGGACATTCGCGGCGGTGGTCGCCATTTTGATAATGATCGTCGGCCTGGCTGGCAATTTACTGACGATCATCGCTCTCTGCAAGTATCCCAAAGTTCGAAATGTTGCGGCAGCTTTTATTATTAGGTAATAAACAAACTATATTATGTATACAGAATTTACAACTAATTATTATTTGGTAGTCTTAGTTAAGTAATTCCGTGGAAGGTGTTCGAGAACTATTAAATATCACTATCTAACGGAAAGAAATACATTACAAAAATTATTTACATTATTTAAAATTAATTTTTATAATCTATTAAAATAATATTATTTAAAATTAATTTTAAATAATGTAAATTATTTTTGTAATCTATTTTTTTCCGTTGGATAATGATCTTTAATAGTTTCCGAACACCTTCCCCGGAATTACTTAACTAAAACTACTATTTTTAGATTAGAAAAATTAATTTTAAGATTATACAAACTATTTAAGAACGCTGAAATTATTTAAAGAAATTGCGATTTCTATTTCGATTTCTATTATTTTCCAAAGTAATCAAGTGTCAGGTGACGCCGGTGACATGAAACGGGGCTGTATACATATACGGTGTTTCGAAATATCGACATTTTTTTATTGATACCTAAAATTATTAAGACGGTGATAGTGATATAATACAAAACATATTTTTTTCAATCTGTGTACAAAATGCTAAATTAGATACTTAAGCTAGAAACGCATTAACCCTTTCGATGTTTATGTCGAGTATACTCGTCATGAAAAGATGACATTTTTTTTGTATCGTCGATCAACGTTACATTCAATTATTTTTCATATGGCCAATTCTAAAGTGACCATATTTTTAAAAATCTATTCACAAAGAGGACAAAAAAGGACTATATACAGGGTGTTCCGCTTAAAACAGGCCACCTAAATATTTCCTCTATCTATGATCATACGAGAAATATTTTTTACGTAATTTGAATGGTTTCAAGCTCACCTCATTCGAGGTGATTAAGTTAGCTGAGACACCCTGTATATGTATGTATACAACTTGATACAGCATGACGTGATGTTAATGTGTTTCCTTACACCTTTATTCTCATGGGATTGTAGGTTGATATATTACGATTAACAAGAGCAAATTATTACAGTTTATGCGTGGCGGACTTCGTGTTCTGCCTTTTCGTGTTGCCGTTCGACTCGATCAGATTCATCAACGCTAGCTGGGCGGAAGTGAGATTTCTCTGCGTCCTTGTGCCCTTTCTTAGGTATGGAAACGTTGGCGTCAGTCTCCTCTCGGTCGCAACTATAACCATCAATAGGTACGAATCAATTTTCTGCGAAGGTGTTGTGGCCTCCATGACGTAAAGATATAAGGTGTGCTCGCCCAGCAGTCTTATTTTCCTCTTCTACTGCGCCTTCCAACGTTCCGCCATATTACAATATGGCCGCTTAGAAAACAATTTAGAAATACAGACTCCTCTTGATTATCGTCTGGCTTGTCTACACGATTATTGTCCAGGCATTATCCTCAGCACTCGAGGGGGGGGGGTAGGCCGTGGAACCCGTCAAGCGCATATTTTGTTGCTGAGGCTTCGGGCAAAAAACGAATTTACGAAGGTCTGAAGCATTTCTCCCTATATGATTATTGTCCCGGCACGGCACGAATTCCGGACAATAATCGAGAGGAGTCTGTACTCCCAGATAGCACATGACGCCCAATGACGCCTTCAAGACGCTTTAAAGGCTCCTTAGACCTAAAATAACCATAAAATTATTTATTAAGACGTCATGTGCTATATGGGCTGTGTAAACGTGGTGTAAACACCTCATGCACATCACTACCGAAATAACTTCGACTCTCGGAAATGACGGGTTCCTGGGATGATTTGAAATAACTTTTTCCTTAACAAAAATGTTATCCGAGGCTTTGTTAACGAGATATTAACGAAAAACCCCGACCAATCAGAGCGCGAGCCTGCCCAGCAGAGTTCTGATTGGTCGGAGTTTTTCGTTAATATCTCGTTAACAAAACCTCGGATAACATTTTTGCTAAGGAAAAAGTTATGTACATCACATGATACTCTTAGGTGCTTTGGAATCATCTCAAACAAACGACAACAAAATCAGAATTGTTCGTTGATTGGTTCGGCGTTTTCCTTTCAGGTACATCATGATAGCACATCACGGCTTGTACAGCAAAGTGTACAAAAGGTACTGGATCGCTTTCATGATCGTGTTTTGCTGGATGTTCTCCTACGGAATGCAAGTACCCACCCTTCTAGGAATTTGGGGTAAGACGGAGTATGCTCTTACTTAACGATGACTGTGTCTGTACAGACCCGACCCTAAACAGAAATAGTCTCGGATATAAAAGATCAGTCAAAGCCAGGTTTTTTTTTTATTAAACATTTAAGACCTCCTACAAAGAGAGGCACGGAAGTGTCCCCCTCCGATTTTGATGAAACTTCGTATGTCTGTTAACCAGTCAACAATAAGGGATACGTATTTTTTGTAAAACCACCCCTCGAAGTTTCGATCCGAAATGCTTTTGTTATAAACAAATTATATTTTGGACAATTTGTTAGAACCATATTATTTTACATAAAAAACCGCAAACCTCGTCCCTTAGAAGTTTTCATGTATCTCCTCTGGTTTTTCGAGATAGTACTTTCAGGTCGAAACTTCGAGGGGTGGTTTCACCCCTTAAAGTCGCGTCTCAGCCGATAAAAAAAAATACGTATTCCTTATTTTTTACGGCTTTAACAGACATACGAAGTTTCATGAAAATCAGAGGGGGACATTTCCGGGCCTTCCCTTGTTAGTTCTAATGATAAAAACGACATTTGGACCGTGTATACGATAAAAAAAAATGCTACGGGTCCGTATAGACCCAGGCAATATCGCTCGACCTTTTTCATCTTCGTTCTCTCATCTGTCCTTCCTATTTCCGTAGGTAGATTCGACTACGATTCGAACCTCGAAACCTGTTCGATCGTAAAGGACAGCAGGGGACGCACGTCCAAAACGTTTCTTTTCGTGATGGGTTTTCTGATACCGTGCGTGGTGATCGTTGGATGTTATACCAAAATATTCTGGGTGGTGCACAGGTAAAAACATTACATACAGGGTGTCCCACTTAACGTGAGCACCTTCAATATCTCACTAGTTTTTGGAGATAAAAAAAAACGTGAGTGGAAAGTATTACAGTAAAGACTCGATAAGAGTTGTACAGGAAGTTCCTCGTGAGAGTTTCTACTTCATCCCCACCACTGGGGAAGGGAGGCCGTGGAACCTGTCAAGCACATCATTTACCCCCCTCCCCCGCTTTTGTTGCCGCAGCTTGGGCTTCGGGCAAAAAATAGATTTGTGAGGTGTTGAAACGAAACTCTAATGGAGTATTTACTATACTTGGTTAGAAGGAACAAATACTATGACAAGCAAAAATTTTCTCAAGGTCATATTTCTTCGAAATTTTAAGGTCATTGACGTTTCTTTTTAATGGGACTACATATGTTTATCAGCGTAGCATTATAATTGAGAGCAAGACCAATCCAATGACCTATAATAGTGTGGCCTTCGTGTGACTTTGAGTAGGAAAAATCCAGAAATGTATGAGAGTAGATTTGAATAATAAAATAACTACGATAATGGGATTAGTGCAAAAATGTATCGAAGTTCATGGACATCACTTTGAATATTCATTAAAATGAAGTTTCTGCAAATCAAAAGCAAGTAAAATATTAAAGGTGCTCACATTAAGTGGGACACCCTGTATACTGCTGTAATCCGATTCTCGAATAATTTCGTTTTGATAATCAACTATGCATTTGTTGTCCGCGATTTTATAGACTTTAAGAGTTTCTATTATTTATAGATCCGAGTCTAGGATGCGAAAACACACGACACCCGTGATAAAGTCGCCCCATACACCCGGTAGGGATACCAGGGAGATCAAACAGAGACGAAGCGAATGGCGAATCACGAAGATGGTACTCGCCATTTTTCTCAGTTTCGTCGCTTGCTACCTTCCGATCACGATCGTTAAAGTAGCCGACGTGGAGGTTCGATATCCAGGTAACTTATCTATTCGTCGAGAAACCGAATAAAAAGACGATTACATAATACAAAACCATATTTTCATCGAACATCGAACAGCTTTCTACGAGCTCGGACAGTAAAGTCTTGATAACTGCTCGCGAAGAGCTGCAGGTTAATCCTTATAGTACCTTATAAGTTTTCCGGATACCGTCCAAACATACCTTGAAAAAATGCGGTTTTTGAGGTATCTATTAATATTAACATATTTCTCTTAAAAAAAAAGATATGTTCACGTTTTTTTTGTTATATTGTGAAATGTATATAGTACTATAAAAACTTATTTTATAGAAATAAAGTGTCACTACATGTGTTAATACATTGTATACACGTATTATAGAGAATTTACTGTACCCACGCGCACTGTCGAAGTCTCGAGCTCTTACCAAAATTTTACTGTATCGTCACTGTCGATGGTACCACCAACACAGTCCGGTATTCACCAGATCGACCGAGTTTCGGTGATTTTGTCGAATGGAAAAACATTAGCGAAGATACGATATATCTTTTTTTCTCAGAGTTCCACGTGCTGGGCTATCTCCTCCTGTACTTCGCCTCCTGCGTGAACCCGATAATCTACGTGATCATGAACAAGCAGTACAGGCAGGCGTACGCGGGCGTGATTGGTTGTTCGCGGATAAGGGCGGGCCTGACACCGTACGGCAGCAGCGCCCCCGGCCACCACCATCACCAGCCGGACTACGGCCAAGGTAACTTCGAGCACCGTCGCGTGGTGACGCTCACCAAGCTCTGACCGAACGCGAGCTAAGCGTACCACACCCCGCTCACTCCGTAAGTCAAGGGCACAAAATTCGCTGCTTTCTATCACCGCGATTTGACCCCCGCTTCCTGATTCCGTCCCCACGACACGTGTCTTCCCTCTTCGACCATATGGCTACCGTCCGTGGTTTAACCCTTTGCATTCGACTGTCGCCTCTGAAGCGACAAAATGTATGGAAAATTAGAAATTCCGAGTGCAAAGGGTTAACAGAAAGGTATATACAGAGAAACTATTGACGATAATAAAATATGTTTCAGATAAAAGTTAAATTGTACCAAGGGACACACTTTCTGATGCAACTTTTTGCTATGTGAACGCGTAGAGGTCACACGAAGGTCAACTTTGTTTTTTTTAAATGGAGTCGTATACTTTTTTATCCATTAACCCCTTGCCTTACGATTTTTTTGACGGCTGTACTTTCAAGCATCACTTTATCGTTAATAATTTCCCAGATACAAACGGAATTTTATTCTTAGGGCAAGTGTATCATTTACTCTAAATCTTTAATATTAATACCAATGAAACAGAATTTCACTTGGACTCAAAGAAAATGAATACTATACATGTTTATTAAATCCAGTTTGAAATCGTCATCACGTGTCTGACTCGGTGTTATAAGGCAAGGGGTTAATTCGCCATACGTGATCTAGTACTTTATGTAGGGAATAACGAGTAGCATCAAGTAGTGCATTGGAACATATACGATTCCATTTAAAAATACAATATTGACCTTCATATGACCTCTACGCGTCCACATAGCAAAAGTTACATGAGAAAGTGTGCCCTCTGGCACCATTTAACTTTTGTCTGAAACGTTTTTTAATATCTTCGACAGTTTCGGAGATATTCGAGTGGGTCGATTTAAATAGGACACCCTATACATATATTCGACGAGGTCCAGTGAACGTGATCACAGGAACACTGATTCAAATGTTTCTGTTCGGTTGAAAGTTGAATGCAAACAATCGGATTTAGTTTACGAAATGGCTGAATGTATTCGTAATTGTGAAAGGGTTGGGTACCTTTTTCTTCATTTATCGCAAGAAGTAAGAACATACGGTTTACCAATTAACTTTAAACTTTCACGGAGAGTTATCCTTATAAGTGAGAGTAATCCTTTTAACTTTATCACGGAGAGTTATCCTTGTAAGTGAATTTTGTAAACATAAGACTGCAATCGATTTTAAAGTTTTACATTTTTCGAAGTTTTCATAATGTGTCACAAAATGTAACGTAAAAAGTCAGAATCAACGTCGATTATTTTCAACTCAATCATATTGAATTCTGATGCATCGAATACCTTTCCTCGGTGGTTGCATGCGTGTGTTTAAAACTTAATCCGATAACACCTTTCATTTTCATCTATCTAACGGCATAGAATTCACCTCTAACGCAAGAAAAGTACAGAATCATATATTATACATACTAATTGATGCACAACAAAATATTGAATACATTATTTACAGGCTCGGTACACGCAAAACATACATATATACAGTACCGGACAAAATTATAACATTTTCACTGCAAGAATGTTTTGAGGATCAATTTCATTAGCATTTTCTGTATTAATTAACGAAGGGTTTAGAATTTATTAAAATTGTTAATATTTAAGAAAATAACGTTTAACGAAATCCATACTCTTCATTAATTAATATGGAACATACTAAAGAAATTAATCTTCAAAGAATTATTACGCTCAAGTACATAGTGAATAGTTTTGTCCGGTACTGTGCCCTCACGAGCAGACTCGGCTTTCGCTAGGGGAAAATGTGGCGTAGGGGTTAAGGGCCTCCTACCGCTTGATAACTTTATTTCAAATACTAACATAAATGTTAAACCAAATATGAATTTGGCATAAATTTCAGTAACTCCAAGACCAAGTGGTAGAAGGTCTTGCCCTGACATCACTTTTTCCCCTAGTGGAAGCCGAGTTTGCTCGTGAGTGTACTTTGTGTAAAAACATTTAGATTTTCAAACATCTTGTTTTTTTCTCGTTCAACACGTCAGATTTAAGCAACAAAGATATTCTGGCGATCAAAATAGACTAACCTGCGGTCTCAAAGTTCGATTCTTCGGAGTTCAAAGTTCAACTTCTTCCACACACACAGAAAAATGAAAACACACTCGCGAACGAAATATGTAATTTGAAATTGCTTCAACGTCGAGCTAACTCCGCACGTCTCCCCGCTTCGATTTTCCGTCTCAGACACTTTGACTGCCACCATCAGCAAAATATGAATGACAGGTATTCAATTCTTAAAAAATAAATGTTTACGTTCAGATACCGAATAAAACAATTTCAGCGAAAATCCGTAAACTGCAGAACCGTTAAAAGAACCAAATGTTGTGACAAATCTTGCTTTATAAGAAAAAAGATTGTCGGTTTAGTCAAAGTGTCGACAAGTTTCCTGCTTGCCGCAGCACGCGTTCGAAGGAGAACCGAGGCGACGCGAATTTTGTTTTCCATTTGCACGACTCTTCCGTTACAGACTACTCGAAGGACTTCAGCAAAACGATGGTGTCGACGGTCTCTATCGCTATGAATCCTGTCAGGGACTCACGGTTCGAAGAGGATCCCTAAACGTTCGCGAAATGAAAAGGGGGCGCCACTGTACAGACAGCGAGGAGCAAAAGTGTTTTGTACATTTCGTGCATCAAATGTGTGGAAAGTGTGCAAACTGTTAAACTTGAACTACAAAGCCAAGTGGAAAGTATTTTTTTATAGGGCGATGTTTAATCTATAACAATGTACTGTTTAATTTATATTGCACTTTAATGTATTAATGTGCATTTTGTCTGTTTTTAGTCTAAAAAAGAAAGTTTTTAGTCATAAAATCTGTGACTGCAAAAACTTCACACAATCTTGAATTGATTTATTGAGACAACTGAAATATACTGTAGAAAGAGAGGAGTTTAAGGATAAATACTCGGGTACTTGAAATGATAGCTGGTTATTTTTTATGAAGAAAAAGAAAAAAAGACTCGATTACTTGCATTTCTTTATCATTTCTAGTCTATAACTCAAAAGAAGTTCTAATTATTGATTACTGTATGATAATAATTTTCTATAATTTCTTGATATTGCTGGAGACAAATGTTGGGAAATGATAATAGGACTCAATTGAACTTGGTAATTTGCACACCTCTGCAGTATATGTAGTTGTATATTATACATGAGACATTTGTAGTGCAACTAAGTTTTTTACCTATATGTGTGTTACTACTAATGTCTATACACATGTGTAATACATATATGAATATACATATTCCATACATTCAATAGTATGGAACATATGTGTAGCTTTTTTTTTATATGTATATCCTCATTGTACAATTACTTTTGTCTCTCACTATATATGTTGTGTACAGTTGACAAGCATGCAGAAGAAAGAATATTGTTTGTCATTTTTTAAGTGAACAACTTGTGAAAAATGAAAAATGACAGTGACAAGTTCTTGGAGTCAAAAGAAACTTGAAAATGTTAGCTATAAAAGACATGAAGGAAAGAGAAACGAAAGTACAGCGGAGCTGTTCGCAGATTTAGTAGTCATATAAATGACTTCAGTATTGTATAATAGAGATTAAGAATAAGTTATTTTTCGACTGACAAGTGAAATGTTGATAGGAACGCGATATGAACGCCATATTTAATCTTCGAGACTCAGGGTGTCGAAGTTTTACCAAAGGTTGCACCATATATTTGTACATAAAAGCATACTTTATTTCTATAAATATAGTGTAAAAAATATATATATACACATATTAATGTACTTTGTAAACATTGATGATTTTATATTACAAAAATATATTTATTCGCTTCGAATAATCCAGGAATAAAAGTTATGTAAAAAGATTATCAAAGTACAAATTAAATAATTTTTCTATCATTCACGTTTCAGATTTTTTTTCTTTGAAACAAGACCTCTTCAGAATACAAGAAACTTTCAATTTATTATTTCTGTAAAAAAAATACAAAATTAATAACGATTGAATCAATAAATACAAAAGTGATAACAGTTTTCTTCAGTCTAATCGACCACGTCGTAAATAACATCACTTCGAGTATCATTCAAAATAAATATCTTCCATGTGTTTTTAATTAATAGCAAAAATACATATTATATATTTATAAAACCGACATGTACGAATATTCGTACGCTTCGCGAGTAAAAATTTATATATACGTATAAAAAAAAGTCTCTGGAGGAGATCGTCGCGGCGTAAATGATTTCAATCTATCGATATATCGATCATGATCTGCAGCACGTAGTAGTCTCCTCTCGAATCGTTGGCTTGTCTCGCAATCTTATCGAGTCCCGGACACCGCCATCGATCTTCGTTTTCAAAACGTTCTCTACTAAATAACGCATCGCCACATCTGCAATGAAACTCCAAGAAACATTCGATATAACATTCTGGTTTAATTGTGTTCATTCAAAATTCCCGCGCATCATTATTCAGATTATATATATTTTCTACATAGTTTCACCGTATTTTTATCGGAGTTAAACTATGCTCTACCATATTCTAGTAACGTTACAAAATGATTAATACTCTACTTATATTTATACATTGTGTTCCAAATTAGCTTCGACTCCCGGAAATGAGGGGTTCCTGGGATAATTCTTCGGCAGACTCGCGCTCTGATTGGTCGGGGTTTTTCGTTAATATCTCGTTAACAAAACCCCGGATAACATTTTTGCTAAGGAAAAAGTTGTTTCAAATTATCCCAGAAACGCCTCATTTCCGGGAGTCGAAGCTATTTTGGGACACCCTGTATAACTTATTAATACTCTATCTTAATATTCTACTTATTTTATATCTATTATTGATGATACCGAAAACTGTTTCAGATAAAAGATGAACGATTTCGAGGGGCGGTTAATTTGACGCAATAGTTTTTTGTAGGTGGACGAGTAAAAGGCGTCTAAATGTTAATTTTGTTTTCCTAAATGGAATCGTACTATTTTTGAATGCCTTAGAAATTTTAATCGATTTAGATAACACCTCTGTATACGTTATTTCTGTTGAAATCGAAAATTTCGAATGAAATTTTTCCCCGTGTATCGTGAACTCTATTGATAATACTCACCGATATTTGTGTTTTCTTTCGCTGAAGTGACGAACCAAGCACCTATGTTATTCTCTTTGCAAAACTTCGCGATCTGTTCGGTCGGCACCACGGGACACGGGATGTCGCATTTGTTCGCGAGAAGTACCACCGGTATGTTTGCACCGTCCGGCAGCGTGACTTTTTCCCTTAAATCGAACAGCCATTTTTTAATCGACTGAAACGTCGATACTCGTGATATATCGAAGACCAACGCTGCCGCCACTCTGCGAAAAATTATTAGGATATATAATATACGGTGTGCTCCACTCAGTGTTGGGCAAAATTTTCTTAAATAATACATAGTAAAAAAATTAAAATTTCATTAGTAAATAAGAATTAATTCTTTTTATTTAAATAAAAGTTATTTGAATGATGTCAGGAATAAATTATTTATTATTTCGTATTTGCAAATAAAATTTTACTTTTCATTTGGATTTAATTGAGACTTATATAATAATAACGTTTCCGTTTTACTTTATGCAATGAAAAAATTAAGAAATTTCTATTTTTATTCACTTTTCAAACAAGTTATCCGAAAGTCTATTTGATTTTGTCATATTCATTATATTTATAGTTGCCAAAGAAAAAATTCGCTCTACTGGAACCGACGACGGTGAAGGTGTTGTACATATTTATACGTTATACGACATATTTTTCTGATGACCATTTTTTTTCAAATTCTTTTTAGGTCGCCGATATTTTTTTTGCCAGACAACATGTACTTATGTAGTATAATGTAGCATATATTATAGTGCATTCAACTACGTCTAACTTATGATCTTGAGGTGAACTTGAACGTTGAAAAAATAATATCATTGAACGTACTTTGAACCGAATTTACTAAAATGAAAAAGAACTTACGCGTATTTGTAATAACCCCTAGTCATGTATCCGAACCGTTCGTGGCCGGCGACGTCCCTGAGGATCAATGTAATAGTAAATAAACAAAACAACAAAATTATTATACGTTTAAATATTTGCAACGCTAATTTACTGATGTACGTTCAGTAAAGTAAAAGAGAGACATTATGTAACAAAAACTCAGTTTTATGTTTAATAAATAAAATACAAAACCGTAAAATAAAGAGTGATTTTACGGGTCGCATGAAACAGTCGCGCAAACAAATGATTCACTCTACTCAAAAATACTGATTTACGCTCAGTTAAGTAGGGAAAAGAATGTGTAACAAACAGTCACTTTTATGTCTAACAAATGAAGTCAACAAAGTTATTATCTAGATAAAAAATTCCAAATAACAAATAAAAGATAACAAAAGTATTTCGCCATTTTTTTTAATTGATCAAACGTATTAATTCCAATTTTTATAATAAAATAATGATGAAAGTTCCATTTAAGGTATGCAGTTCCGATGACCTTGACCTTGTCATTTGTTGTTAAGGACATTCTTTTGAGTAAGCCCCAAGAAGTTTTAACTGTCGCTCGCTTTTTATTAAAAAGATATTAGCAAAAAGGTTTAGTAACATATTTTAATAATACTGATAAGTGAAATGACCGATGACCTTGACAAATGTTGTCAAGGTCACCCTCCTGAGTGACCTTCACAAAGAAAATACCTTTTTCTTGAACTGTCCCTAAACAACTCTGAATGATATTTTTTCTTGAATTGTTTACAACCAACTCTGAATGACTTTTTTTTTAACTTTGCCTAACCAACACTGAAGCATTATACTGATCGGAATTGGTTAGAGTAACTGGTATATGTTGCACGTTCTTTTTTTGCTAATAACTTTTTAATAAAACAACGAGCAACGACTAAAACTTCTAGGAACTTACTCAGAAGAATGTTCTTAACAACATATGTCAAGGTCAAAGTCATCGGAGCTGCATCCCCTAAACGTAACTTTTAGCAAAATAATATTTCTTCTTGAATAAGTGGATACTTAGCAAACAATTATTTAATCTCATGAACTGTTGAAAGGTCAAGTTGACGATACCTATACTGCATTTCACCGTGTAATTAATCGAATAGAATCGTGCCCATCTCTGGTGAATTCCGAGTGATTTCAATGGCCGCGTAGTAGGCACAGTCGCACAGGCAAACAAAACGCAACGAAAGTGTGTGGTGTATACTTACCATAGTTGCAAGCTTATTCTAGTGTGTGGATCCCAATCAAATGTTTTTATCGCGAAATCGGCACCTATGGTGATCTTGTAATTCGACGTGAACTTTCCTGCAAAAAGAAGTACGTTACATAATCCGAAAGCGTTAAGACACACATTATGGACGATCAATTGAAAACGGGGAGATCATCGGCCCCACTTTGCAGGAGGGCCCCGATCTAAGCCTTTCATTTATGTAAAAGAATAATAAACGAAATTTTGTATATTGTTTCCCTTTTGAAGTAATTAGAAAACGCACTAAATGTAAAAATAAATCGGACCAAAGTTATTACAATATATCGAAGCAATGTTCCTTATAATCAAACGTTCGTTATGATTAAATGATATTTAATTATAGTTAGATTAAATTTCAATTTTTGAATATTTATGTACTTTAGTATATGTTTTATTACAAAACTCTTTTGAGCCCCCCACCGTCTTCAACCAAGAGGACCCTCGAAGATTTAATAACCCCGGACCCCAAGAATCTTAATTCGAGCCTGGGTGTATCGAACAAAACGAAAAAAAAAAGGTGTGATACCGTTCTGTCGTTTCCACGTTATCACGCGTATTGCACTGTTCTTTCACGAGCGATCGATCGATCAAAATGAGATTAAATAAATTAGGTCAAGAATAAAAATAGAAGGACATTTATTTGTGTCCGTTGCTGTTCACAGGTGCAACAGAAGATTAAGATGAATGTCGTGAATAGATGAACATTATTGATGATTTAAAGTACTTTAAAGAATCTACGAGGTAAACCGCCCCCGCTTGCATATGAATGGCAAGTATGGCGACTGAAATGATTAAAGATGAAAATTGTTGATTTAATTGTTACCGTTTGGAAAACGGAATCAAATTACAGTGTATTCTCGATGAGTGTTCCAAGTCTTCTCGGCACTGAACATTAAATATTTCATAAACTAATGGCCATACGCGCCTGAAACAAACATCATTGGCTTCAGAATTCCAAGCTTTATCACTGTGCTAAATCTCATTAAAAAGTCAGTGTTACATCTGGGGATTTCTCCATGTCATTGCCGAGGAGCCTTCGAACACCCATCGAGGATTTACTGTAACTATTGCATAAGTGAAAGGCTCAGTTTCAATGAATAAGTTGAGAAATTCGATGGTAGTTATAAATAGTACATAATTCTCCATAAGATATCACATTTCGTGTAAAAATTGGTACAATTTCAGAAATTCATGTAATGTAAATAACATATGTAAACGTTCTTATTCTTATACGCTATTGCAATGCACGTTTACGCTAAATTCAAAATTGTGTTTCAAAACGCGAATTTTGTTTGATCCAGATGAATAGTGTTAATAATAATAAAATAAAATTTCCTTTACCTTCCGTGTACCGCCTGACTAGCGCAGTTTTTCCTAGAACAATCGACACGAAAATTAATATTACAAAGTCTGTGGCGAGTTTTCAATTATGTACTGGGTGTTCCATAAAACCGTTCACATTTGAATTTGCCGCGACTACTAAACAATATGGTGGGAGAATTCAGTGTTGATATATGGATACGTTACGCACAAGTCTTTGGAAATTTTGGTTACAATGAATAATTTTACGAAGCAACAACTTGTTTTCTGTGTATAATTGTATTATCAAGAGCAATAATTCGTTCATAACATCAGTGAAATTGTTTTCTAGTGGGATTGCCTAAAAATCAAGGTCTATGAAAACAAACCAGAATATATCTCTGAAACCCAGATAGCACATGACGCCCAATGACGCCTTGAAGAAGGCTTAAAGGCGTCTTAGACCTAAAATAGCCGTAAAATTGGCGTTTTCAAGGCGTCATGCGCTATCTGAAAATCAATCATCAAACAAAATCAATGAATATCTGTTCGGAGATGGTTTTTAAAAGTTTACGTTATCGTCTTTGAAGATTCTAGTAAAGATCCAACATTTGGACGACATAATTTCTGCCACTTGAATTTCCAAAATGTATTTCAAAGACATATTTACGTTGCTAAAACTCATTTAGAAAACATTGTTAGGATTTTATCGGTAATTTGAATGTAAATACTTTTATGGCACACCTGGTACAATAAGGAAACAAAAGAACCGCGGACTTACCTACGCCAATGTCACCGATTACGAGGAACTTGAACAGAAACTCCTTCTGACCAAACTTTGATAACACGACGTCCGAGTCTCGACGCGGCTTCCGGCCGTTCATGTCTTCTTGCCCACAGTCCAGCTGATTGAAATCTACGATCGAGTAATAATAATAAGACACGACGCAGTGACGTAACATCGACTGATAGATTTTACGCTTTAATCGTGTACCCCGATTATTCGAAATTCAGGGCATTTAAAAAGTTCAATGAATCATAGAGTAAATCAATCAGTGAATGACCGAATTGTTAAACTTATGGACGTTTGAGATTAATACTGGAATGTATTTATTTGTAACAGCAAAACAGCTGTTGAAATGGCAATTATATTCATTATCGTAATTTAAAAAAAATTATTTTTAAAGTGCAAAACTTGGAAAATTCCAGTAAATGACTGGTACATTTCTGAAATATTTTTAATAAGAATTGTACTTATTAATGTTTGCTTATTACACTAAATTAAAAATATTGGATATTAAAAGTGCAACTACACTCCATTTATAAACATTTAATAATGTTTAATTTTTAATTTACATTTCTTGCCTAATGGTCATTCACTGGTATGCAGTCAATTACTTGATTGGTTTACACTACTGAGATTTTTCGGTGTTATTTATTGGAACCTAACGGGATCCATAATAAGATAAATACAATTCTACTTGACCTCAGTCTCTATAAATTAATTCATCTGTATTTGCAGAAATTACCGCAGGTTAGAACAAATAGCGGTGATAACAAGCAGATGAGTAATAACAATGACGATAAACGAAAGAAATGGCAATTCGGTGTTACATGAACCGTTTCTAGCATGGAGTTAGCATTCGACATTAAAGATTCTTTTTACAAGTTAATTTCAAGAGGGACAGCCTGAAACATAATAGGCAAGACCTTCGTCGATGGCAACACATACAGGCAATCCACGGGTGTTCGCAACTGCAGAAGACAAGAGAGAGTTTAACAAGGTGTAACAAAAATGTTGGAGGACCCGGAAATGGGAGACTCGTGAGGTGATTTGAAACAAGTTTCTCCTTAGTGAAAATTTTATCCGAGGCGTTGTTAACGAGATATTAACGAAAAACCCCGACCAATCAGAGCATGAGTCTGCCGTCCGAGTTCCCGCGGTAACGTTGCCTACCAGTCGCAGCAGCGTCATCGGCACCCCCGTCCGCGTAAATAAATATCCCGGTCACCAAACTGTTTACATGACACGACCTGAACACGCGTGTTGTATAATAGAAGTCACAATTGATTATTAACCCAGCGAAGGCGAGTTACAATAGCTACTGTAATTTAAACGTGTCTGATACATTGCTTCTTCTGATTGGTGTTATATTAAAAATTTTCTTGCATAAAAACAATTTGTTCTCACGTTTCTAACAAATACGGATCAGACAAAAGTTATGGAAATAGATACAATGTGAAATGTACAATTTGGCCGGAAACTTTTGGTAGCCACTTATAAGTATACAGAGTGGACCACCAAACATGATCAGTGGACTGCGAATTCTATGCATTTATAGCCCATAGGGCTCTGTGAAATACAATAAAAGACAAAACTTTCATCGGATCTAATGATTTTTCTATTTTAGTCTGAACCCAAAAAGATACATAAGAGGAAAAATAAATGTCTACATTTGCTCCTGCCTTTATAAATTAGGTTAGAAAATGATATTTTGCATAAAAAGCCGCAGTCTAATGACCAGCTTAGATTATTCTACTAACCATCAGTGCAGATGTAACAAATAGAACTAAGCAGTCGTTTCTTACACTTCCACTTTCTTAAAGCTCTCCTTTAAGCCTGTTATACTAGTCATACAAATTTTCGATCGAACAGCTAGCAGTAGAATAATCTAACCTGATCACGTTTCGTGGTCCACCCTGTATATCCTCTCGCCGTTTTGAAAATGCTTCTCTCACTGGGCGAAACAAGTCAACACTTTACTCACTGATGTTCCAAAGTTGTGACCGTTGACAAAACAAAAACTGTATATCATTTCTGTTTCTCGTGTTCAGTATCGTGTAACATTTTCTGCGAGCAAATTCTGTTTGTTTACTTATCAGTACGAATTCTTCGTGTCGAGATTCTATTCGTATCAGAAGTTAACCCCTTGCCCTACCACTTGTTCGACGACTCCACTCTCAAAAATTACTTTCTCGTTAATAATTTCCCAGATACAAAAATAATTCTTATGACAAGTGTAACATTTACTCGAATTCTTAAATGTCAATACCAGCGAGACAGTATTTCACTTTGACTTAAATAAAACGAATTAGACCAATTAACCCCATGTTTCGTAAATTGTCACTGCCCGAAAATCGGTGGAGCGTTCTCGATCGAAAAATGTGCGCCGGTTAACAGGTGTAATTATAAGTGTTATTCGAACGTGAACAACCGCGATTATATATGATATACATACCACGAACCGTCGCGTTCCCCGTTTCGCGACCGACTAGACGCCGTGACGAAACTGACGAATCAAGAGGAAAACTTGGGAGGCTCGACCTCAGGGGTCGTCCTCACATCTCCGTCGCCCTCCCCCTTAACCCACATAGTGCTGTCTATCGTCCCGATCGCAGTCGGTAAACATCGGGGATCACTCGTAAACTACGATTTCGGCTATCGGTCTGAAGATGGTCTGGAGCATACATCCGTTCCCCTCCTATCGTCGCCACATGCATGTTTCATAAAGGTTTATCATTCCCGAGGATTAATCGCCCCCAACGCAAGTGCGTGTCCCGAGAAAGCTGTACTATTTACCCGACGTTGACATCGTGTGGCAATATTGTTTTCGACGGTCTAATGCCAAGGTTAACGACAGCGTATTGGAGTTTATCTGTTCGGCGTGTTCGACGCGGACGGCGGTTGGTCGAACGATTTGATGTGTGTATAGCAATCGCATGATGTATGTGTGTGTGTGTGTGATGTATGTCGGAAACTGTTTCAGAGTGACTTTAAATGAGAACTGTATGCCTCTTAGAATTTGGGGGTTGTGACCCGTGGTGGGTAAGTAAAATACGCATGGTATAATACAAGTATACATACATAGACGGAGCATAAGTTACCATTTTGGGCGAGGGGACCGTAGGGTTGGAGGGGAAAAGACAGCGGTCGTTAGATAAACGTCGGTTAACTTCGGATGCATTCGGCTCGATTCAGCTCATTACTGGTGGGCTGTATGCCGTACTATTATTTGATACTTTATACCATTTATTAATTTTGTTAAATACATATATCTATAAAAACTACATGACATACGGAATTTTTAACGTATAATAAGTATATTCTTTTCATCTCTCATAGCATACATGTATGTAACGTAATTGTATACCCGAATAGCACCGAAAAGGAACGAAGTTACCCGATTTATAACTAACCACCCCCTTACCGCGAATCTTACTCCCCCGCTTAGTTCATGCTCCGTCTATATATGTCTATGGGTTGTATATGGAAAAACCATCGGGGTAATGAAGGGTTCGTTGGCGACTACCGCGACACCTTCAATCTTATCTCGCACGCACAAACTGTCACCTGTCACACGGCCCAAAAACTCTTCACTCGCGCCACACTCGCTCGATCTAAAACTAAACGCACAAACATCACGCATCTCACACCCTACATTACTGCTGAATTTTTCCATCTGTCTATTAAAAGTATGACATCCCTTGATTCAATATTAGCAACAGATTATTAAAATTTTTTGTAACGAGCAACAAGTATGCTTGTTGAGAGAGTTTTTCTTGTAGGACTTTTATATGATGGATTAAGTTTATTAACAAAATTTAATTAAAAAAAAAAACACGTTCACATTTAAGGGGTGGTTTCACTCCGAAGAACCGAATATCAGCAAAATTGCACGATGTTTCTATCGTCGGATAGACCGCATGCTATTGGCTCTCGAAAATTGCCCCGTTTCCTAGAGGGTGATTATCGCGAGTTTAATGTAATTCGGTGACGGGTCACCACTGACCCCTAAAACCACAGGGAGTGGAAACTTGTTAATATTACAGTCTACTTTATTTCTATACATTTATTTCATCCGTTCCGTTTCAACGTTTCGGATACGTTTTCGTATTCTTTTCGTCGCAACGACACCCTCGATAAAAAAAGAAAAAATAATACAATGATATACATAGATAGATAGACGATACAAACAGACCATAGATAGACGAATCTACATTTTAAAACAAAATCCACAATCTTTTTATCACTTCTTGTAAATACATTCACTCCAGAAGAGAATGTTCAGTAGCACAACCAATTCTTTGGATTCTGAATAGTCAGCGTGTCCACTTCTTGTTGAGTGAAGCCCTTCAGCATCATATGTGGCAGAACGTTGTTCAGAATGTGAGAGTATCCGTGACCACCAAACTTCATCTGTGTTATTTTTTAAAGAGAGAGAAAAACAGGGAATATTAAATTGAGATGTTTCTTTCAAAGAATTATCGATTGTATTTATTACTAGACTGCGGATTTTATGCATTTATTACCTATAGGGGTATGTAAAATACAGTAAAATACAAAACATTCATCAGATCCAATCAGTTTTCTAGTTTATTCCAAACCTAATATGATACTTAAGAAAAGAAAGAAATTCCTACATTTGCTTTTCTCTGTATAAATTGCTTTAGAAAATACCATTTTGCATAAAAATCCGCAGTCTATTTATTACGTACTAGTCTGTGTTTCGTGTGAATGTCGTGACTCAAGAGCACACGATCTAATTTTCCATCGTCCCGTAAAATCTTCACCCGATCGATCCGTTGAGCGTCCGACAGCATGTCGATCTTCGGGCTCAGTTGGTAAAACGAGCACTCCAATCCGAACAGATCGAACTGGCAGTAACACTTCGTCTCGTCGGCGAACTCCAAAAGCTTCTGCTCGTCCGTAATAGTACCTGTTAAATACGGAACAGACAAGTGAACCGATTGAGAAATTATTGGGTGTACTGTACCACAATGTTTTTTGTTTATACAATTCTGTTTTTTTTCTGAATGCGTCATTCCAGGCAGGGCCGGCCCAAGCATGATGCAAATAATGCACAGCATCAGGGCACTCCCGTAAGGGGACGCCTTACAAGATTATTTTTTTAAATACAATGTATGCTTGTTTTAAAATTTTTAAATGTCAACCTAATTTAATGTGTATATTTTTATTATTTTTATTATCCGTAGATGAAATTATGAATTTGCATCAACTTCCGGAGTCAAATGATAATCGACGATACATAATAATATAATAATATATTAAACGTACGATCCATGTGAGACATGATAGCTTTCCGGCTATCACCGCCGGCCTCTTGATAGATCCTCATTATTTCGGCGGGCGCCGCAGGATCTCGTCCAGGATGAAAGCTGACCGGGCATTTCAACTCCGACTGAAGTTTCCCGGTCGCTTGAATCGCCCGTTTCTCGAACTCTGCTCGAAACAAGGTGTCCCAATAAATGTTTAAAAAAAATAATAATTTGGTAAATATATGTAACATTTGATAGATTTCGTACAGATAAATTAGAAAAAGTTTGAAGCCTGGGGTTTTAAATTTGACACTAGAAGTACCGAACCCGTCAAAATGACGGATTGCAGACTTTTTATTTTATAATTATTGAAATCCTAGAGATACTTTCATCGGAATCTATGTTAACCTCTAATTTCTTATTCATTTTATATTATAGTATACTATGTTATATTGCATTATACAGAGTGTCTCAGTTAACTTGATCATCTCATATAATGACTTCACAGTGCACTTTATGAAAATTTTGGTGACAAAATCAAGGTGACCTTGAAATCTCTGAAATGCCTCGACCCACAAAAACAGCACGTACCTTATAAGATGTGCCCCTTGATGCCATTTAAGTTCCACGCATCAAAATTTTCATAAAATATACCATGAAGTCATTATTCGAGGTGATCGAGTTAGCTGATACACATTGTATATTACAGATATAAATGTATTACACAATTTAACTTAGCATATATTCAATGCTGGTAGTTCTAGTGTTAACGAGAAATGTTGCCGAGATGTAAGGTTAAATTAGTTTTTGAAGAAAAGAAATAATGGTTTGGCGAAGTTAGTATTCGACCTTCTTAAGAACTGACATTATACAAGATGGTTCACCTAACGTGTGACCACCTCAATTACTCGTAAATTATTGACTGTATGGAAAAATATTTTAAACAAAACTTGCATGGTATCAATGCAATAATATGTTTTTGTTTACTGTGTTACATTTTTATCAAGATGTAACGGTCACCTTTAGTTTTTTTAAGGGATCACGCCTAGTTTAGAATTTTTTCTAAAATAAACTAATGGACATTTCTACAACTAACATTTGATTCAAAAATGCATATATTGTGCAACTTATTGTACTTTTTTTTTCTACCAAAATATCAAGAAATGAATGTGTAACAGCCACTCTCCCGGAAACTGTTCTTTTAAAGGCATTTTGCAGTGAGAACGATTTTTCGATGCTGGATCATCTGAAATTAAAAATTCAAAAAGATTCTATTAATATGTGATTTTATTTGGTAGGTGAACGAACAGTTTTTATTTTTACTGAAAACTCTTGTTTTAATACACAAAAAAACAAAAAGTTCAAGCATCGAAAAACATTCTATTCTTGCGTTAAACGACCGCCATTTTGTCCACAATCAATTTTTCCAAGTGTCATACGTTCACGTACTAAATAAAATCATATATTAGTTTTTTCACATGTTGGTAGTGAGCTTCTTCCAATTAAAATGCTACCAAACATATTTCCAGTGATCGTCCATCAATTTTCAGAATTACTTATGACCGGACTTTCGACGCCATTTTTCTGGCCAATACAAAATTATCTAAGCCAGTGACACTTATATTTCAGTTCTTGCAATTAAAAGATCGAATCTTAAAAATTTTCCAATCTACATTTTTTCAAAACTACTTTTCACATCTGGCTAACTTTCCCTGTAAATTTTCAGGCAAAAGCCTTCGATAAAGTTTCGGAAGTCGACTCGATAACGTTCAAGATTAAGCGTGGCACACCTTCGATTGGCCAGTTACTTCCAACCTCCCCGATGAATCCTGTTTTTACGCCAGGAACCACGATGCATCCTTGCGTCATTTCACCCCACATCATATAGTACATGTCTTCTATACTGTAGTTCAGCAGAGCGTGTGTGCTTTGGGTGGCGGCGACGTAGTAGCCTTAACGATTGACAAACAAACGATGATCCTCGAGCGAAAAATTCGTATACAAGGTGTCCCACCTGACGTGAGCACTTGTAGTGTCTCACTTGCTTTTGATTTGCAGAAAATTAATTTTAATAAATGCCCAAAGTGATGTCCATCAACTTCGATACATTTATGGATTTTTCTCAAGGTCACATGAAGGTCACGCTATTATAGGTCATTGGATTTGCCTTGATCACAACTATTATGCCACACTGATAAAAATATGTAGTCCCGTTTAAAAAAAGAACATCGATGACCTTGAAATTTCGAAAAATATGACCTTGCGAAAAATGCTTGCTTATCCATAGTATTTGCTCCTTCTAACCAAATATTCCTTTCACCTCACATGTTTTTGTATCCTCAAAAACAGGTTGGGTATTAATGGTGCTCACGTTAGGTGGGACACCCTGTACAAAAATAATTTAACATGTTCGTTATTTCCATAATTTATGGTTTCGAAAACGTTCGTCACAGAACTCCCTAGTATACTCACAGGTATAAAAAATACATGATACATTAATAATTTCATGATACTTTAATATATAATAATTTCTCGATGAGCGCGACGTACTCGAGTTCACTTTGGAGCATTCGTGACAAGACGGCAATGTTCTCAGCCCCCTCATAAATTTATTTTTCGCCCGAAGTAAAAACTCTGCTTAGATTCGGTTTACTCTGTTTTGATTGATTCCACAGGGGGACTCCACCAGTGGTGGGAATAACGCCGTTGCTCGTGTCGCATTCATAGAGGGATCACTGTATGTACTAACGTTTTATTTCGTTATTTAGAGTACGTAACCATATGGCAACAGTAGGAACGAAAGGATTAAGAGCGAGCGTGATCGATGTTCTACGGTGTTCGGATAACAGAATTTTGCCTCAGATCAAACCAAATATCGTTACCTGTCCCGGCAATAATATTCACTCCGGTCTCTCGGCTGATCTTTCTCATCAGTGGAATGTCACGTTCCAGACCGTAGTTACTGTTCTCCACGATGGTGCCGCCACCGAACTCGCGGAAAAGTTTCACATCCTCCAACACAGCATTGAACGTGTCATTGTCGTTGAATTTCAAATTGTACTTGCTACTATAACTATAAGCAGAACATTGTATTCTAACATTTCAATCCGACCCAATGATCTAATAATAAGTTAAAGTCGAGTTTACGTATACATTCGTCGAAACGCCGACGTATGCGCGTCGCCATTTTGTTTGATCGTTTACGTTCCCGGAAAAAGATGCTCCGCTTACAGGACATGGTAGAAAAGGTATAGTGCGGTGAAAAATGATTAACGTACTATAAAGAGAAAAAGAAATGTTTTTCTAAATAAATAAACGTTACTAAAGATACTAGAAAGGTTGTAAATGTCTACGGTTTCCAGTGGCGTCACTAGGGGGTGCGAAGGGTGACGCCATCGTGGGGGTGAGATACCCACTGTTTTCAAACGTATGTTAAAAAATTACATTTTTACCGATTTTACAACTGTACGCCCTTTTTAAAATGGTCATTTATTGTTTGTTGAGAAACTAGTGGGGAATAATATTGGTAGTTAGTCACGTGAGTGTAGTAATAGATTGAAGTTATGCTACGTAAATTTCGTGTTTTCCACTTAAATATGACACAAAATAAGCACTAAGGTACCCAGTACATGCAAGTATGGCTTTTAATGTTTAGGTTCTAGCAATAAATGATATCCCTTATAAACTCTTAAATCCATGCTTTCTAACGACCAAACGTTTTATATAATATTCAGGGAGAAGGAGTGACACCATGAATTACCACACCGGGTGACACTAGTGCTAGGAACGCCACTGGTGGTTTCCAATATGGCCGCTGTCTTAACGCGCGTAAGGTTCAGCTCAAAGAAATGATTGAATCGATACCAAAAAGAAAATATGTACTCTTGCTGCCGATGACTTCACAATAATTAACTAAACCGTCTAAAGACAAACATCAGAAACTTTTCGTTGACGCTTTCGAAAGAAATCAAAAGTGTTTGTAGAATAATTGAATGGTTGTCGAGAAAAAAGGTGTATGTTCCAAATTTTTCGAAAGGGGTTTTCCATGGAACAAGGGCTACTTGAGATATAATAAATTATTTTCTCATTATTGAATTATGATTCAGTTTATTTTTATCTTTTCTTGCTTTTATGACATATAACGTACGTCCTTCTTCCAGACACCCATTCAATTATATTCATCGACTAATACACGGGATGATGAAAATCAGTGACAGAAGGGAATTTCGCCGTCAGACTTACGGGTATTGTCTTAAAACACCGAGATTCTGGATCTCTATCTTGTCGTACAGGAACCGATCCAGGTGATCCGGCGGGGGAACATAAAACGTGTTAAAAGATAAAGCCAGGTGCTCGTGGGTGAGGACCTTGCCAAGCTCGTCTGCACTTTTCTCACCGAGTACTGTGTAAACAAATCATATTTGTTAAACAACAATGCAAAAACAATTATAACTACATTGTGAATATTTACAAAAATTGTCATGGTAATGACATATAATTTCACCAACGAATAGATTGGTGAACGTTTAAAACATTTACAAGTTTATATAGTGTAATTAAAAAAAGATTTTAACTCGCATACCCTTTAAAACAGAACAACATTTTTAAAGTTGGACCACGTGACTTGATTATTTTTTATGAAGTTGGGAGGATTAGTTTACTAAATAATGTGTAAACAATTTTTAAAAAGTTGCAATTGGTCGGATTTGCAAAGAAAATAGTAGGTCGCTTTTTGCAACATTTTTATCTGAGATTGTAATGCAAATTTAACGAATATATTGCGAAGATAATGTTACTTATATACATACTGAAACTTTCACTGAAATCGATTGACACAAAAACGAGCGACAGACATCGAAGAATGTAAGAATCTTCAGATTTACTACAGTTATAGGTCGAAAGTCGCGATAAACTACGAATTTCAACATTTTTCATCGTGTGTATCTCATAAAAATATTAACCGATTTCGATGAAATTTTTAGCATGTATATAACTAACATAAATCTAAAAAATTTATTTTTTTAATATTCATTACAGCCTCATAAAAAAGTTGAAAAAAGCGACCATATTACTATTTTCTTCGCAAATCCGACCAATCGCAATTTTTTCAAAGATTTTTTACACATCATTCAGCGAACTAATCTTTCTAACTTCACGAAAAAAAACTCAAATCACTTGGTCTAAATTTAAAAAAGTTGTTCTGTTTTAAACGGTGTGCGAATACTTTTTTTACCCACTGTATATATATTTCTTGTATCGAAGGATTCGTTAATTCGAATATAAAATACTAAACGCTAGCAAATTTATTTATTTATAATTATTCCGTGAATTATGTGAAACAAAAACTTCATCCAACACGCTCACCAGTTTGTACGGTGCCTTTTGGGATCGCCATGCTCCTCTCGGATGTCTACTACAAACGTATCAGCAATGTTTAATCGGTCTAAAGACGATCCAGAATATTCAAAACTGTAATCGACAAAGTAGTTCAATCGTAGAACGTGACAGCAAAACTAACGAATTCCGCGGCCACGAGCTATTAAGAAAATATTTCCTTAATGTGATTCAAGAACGGCCACTTTCAGTCGACGAGAACAGCGCTGAGGACGTTCCAGTCTCTCGCTACACCCACGGTACACTGACGTGTGATTCGGATCAACGTGCATTTTCTGTTAAATAACGAAGCGATGTTAAATCATCGCGATGTTATTTCGCGTCGCGTTGCGCAAGGCTTTCGTCGGTTCTCGCGTGCATGAGAATATAGGATGCGTACACCAGTGAACAAATATTATATATATAAAAATGAGTGAATTAAGTTATTAAAATAAGCAAATGACTGAATATTGATTTTTTTTTTTAATTCTTTGTTTTGATATTCAAACAATTTTCGCGCCATTCATTAGAAATGTTCAGTAACTTATATCATTTATTCATTGGTAAAATCTGGATTTCTTTCTTTTTAATTTCATTAATTAAATTTTTGCAATTTTCGAAATTGAAATCTATACGTTATAAAAATCTAACGTTATATAAACTTTTTTTGACAATAACTTTCTTTACAAATGACGACCCCCAACTAAAACCTTCCTATTACTACGCAGGGTGATGACCTTGATAACATAAAAAGTCATCGAAATCGTCAGTGGCTCACTTGTAAATATTTACCATTATTTGTATGCACATAAAATTACATTTTACATTATGAAATAATAAAAAAACCCTCAGAGGCTTTTCTATCTGGATTAGGGATATTCGATACCGATTTTTCAAAACATCGATTCTCTTGGAGTAACGCTTCACTGCCATGTATAACACCCCTGTTAGCTAAACCTGTACAGAGTAAGACTCTAATCGAAATCAAACATTCCCAATCCAGATGAAGATTAATTGAATTGAAAGAGAATTGTTGGGAACATTGATTTTGAAATTTTCGACCATGGTTCAATGTATCTCGGTGGATTCCGAAGGTTTTAGATAAAGAATATCGTAATAAACGTATAAGCCAGTGTGCGTTGCACGATGATAACAACTGTTGAAATCTACCGAAGCAATACACACAGAATTTTCGACCGTAAAGACTGGAGGCGTTGGTAAACAGTCGATGACTGGGAGACCTTGCAGTGAAATAAACGTCGATAAACATATACTGGTATTTACCTCGTTACTAGTGAATACGTATAAAAGAATTCGGAATTGTTATATTACGTGCATGCATGCTATCTTTTACCAAACATGTTCTACAATTTTCGAGCTAATAGAAAATTTAAAAGAAACATTCGATCTTTGGATCTAGGTTGAGGAAGTCCCAGATGCAAGATCGCTGCTGTGGCACGACTTTAACGATAAAAGGTGTGGAACATGGGCGTAACTGGTTTATGATTCAGGGGAGATTTATCTTAAGGTAAATTTCATATTATTTTTCTTCCCTAGGGGTGGTGGCAAAATCCAATGTTTTCCCTTCCAAGATAGGTAAAAAGCCACTTTTTCCCCTTTAGGGTGGGGGATCGTATATTTTGTAATGCACTAATTTGCTATAAGTGACTTAGTACCTTATGTGGGGAACAACGAGTAGCATCAAGTGGTGCATCACAAAATATACGATTCCATTTTAAAAAATCAAAGTTGACCTTCATATAACCTCGACACGTCCACATAGAAACAATTACTAACATGAGAAAGTGTACGCCCTGATACCATTTAACTTTGTCTGAAACATTTTCTAATATCGTCAATAGTTTCGGAGATATTCGAGTGGGTCGATTTAAATGGGTCACCCTGTATACACATATGTATGCGCTTGACAGGTTCCACGGCTTCCCTCCACCCCAGTGACAGGGATGACGCCCGGACAATAATCGTATAGAACCTGCAAGACAGTGATCGACGGAAGTATGTAATAACAAATATATAAAAAAAGATTTTTTGTTACAAACGAATATGAAATTTCGTGTCAAAAATCTTTCTCTAGAGAGAAGTAATTAATTTTTGTCCATTTTCCTACATCCATCGAACACTGTGGGAGGGCAGAAAATCATTGGATCCGGTAAACATATTCCAGAAGGGTGGGGGGGTAAAAATGGGGATCGATGATTAGTATCATACAAAGTGCAGGCCTTTATTTTTGCACGTACATCTGTTTTGTAACGAGTAACACGACAACGTTCGATAAAGTCGCTTGAACTTTCGACTCTCTCGTTTAATTAATTGCTATTACATGTACCAGACAAGACCGTGATAAAGAAGAAGCCCTTCTTCTTCTTTTTCTTTGCAACGCTTTCTTCCTCGATCGATCCAATTCGGATATGGCATATGCGTATGTGAATGTTTATTCTTTAAACGTTTCCCCGTGACGAGTTCCTGCCCGTTCTTTTCGAGCCCGTGTGTAGCAAGGCGATGTTCGCCTTCGTCTTTATACGACTAAAAGGAAAGAGAAAGAAGCGTATCTTTTAACGGGCAAAACAGTGGGATATCGTTTTCGTTACCGAGCGCCGAGAAGAAAAATCGAAGAATAACGGAACAAGCGATAAATAAATAAAACGAATCGATAAGTGGTAAACCGAAGAGGAAGGAAGGGGGGGGGACGGACTGGAAGAAATGAAAGAATCAGAACAATGTAAAAGAGTGAAACGACGGCAAAAGCGTATCCCAATCCGCGGGCTCAGCTTCCAATTATGGCTGCCTGCCTCGAGAAAGAGGGGAACAGATTAATGCTATCGTTCAGGAAACATCCATTATTAACTGTCCTCTGTTCAAGCTTCTCTTATTCTGTTCGCAAAACGATTTATATACATTCGAAAGATACAAAGAAAAAAGAAAAAAAGGAAACAAATAATAATTTTTGGTTATCCTATCGGACGAAAAGAAGTAATAATGTATGATACAATAAAGCTTATTTATCTTTGGCTAAGGAAATGATGGCGAAGTAAGGTCCCCCCAAAAAAATTACTACAAGCTTAGAAAAATTTTCGGGGGGCCGGTTAACCCTGCTGTGTTCTCCTCGCTGGTTCTTCACGTTTGTACACCTTTCAATAAAATTATATCAAATTTCTGAAATGATTTGTTCTTCAGAAATACAAAATACCTAAAACATAGACGTGAATTTTAAATACTACATTGGATATTGAAAATAAATATTAAAAAATACCCATCGAAATGTAATCTTTATGTCGGGTCGTACACAGACCCGAGTAGAACAGCAGGGTTAAAGCTCAAAACTGTTCCCTCTGCCAGCAGTTTTTTTCGAACGCCATCTGCATGATTGTTTTTGTTTTCTTTTTAGCCCGTGACACAGGACGACCGCGCGAGTTTTGAAACGCTGGGATACGCTTCGACTGAAAAAAAAAAAATAAAGGGGGACGAGATGCCGTATCACATATATGTATACTTATATATTATATATATATATATATATATATATATATATATATATATATATATATATACACACACGTCCTCAGTTGGCAATTCGTCTACTAATTCTCTCCAAAACACGTCTCGTTTCTTGCGAATCTGTGTGTACAATACAAAATGTCCACGAGTTTCTTCTCTCCGAGCAAGCTGTTCCATGCAACGCATGCTACGTGCATGTCACGTGATCGCCGTCCCGACACGCAGCACTCCCGTTTGAATTTTGCCGCCCGTACAGGGGCGTCTCCACGCGGCGGTGGTCCAAGCGGCAAAAATCATTTCGGGGCATCGTTGCACGCCTCCCCGCGCGTTCACGATAAATAGATGATTTCTACATACAATTAAATAACTCGATAGCTCCCCCCCCCCCCATTAAAGCGCCCCGTAAAGTCTACAGCCCCATACATTTATCCAGACATGGTGTGTTGTATAGTCCCGCGAACGAACATTCTACGTACATATCGAATTGCAATCCTCAATGCGTATCAAAAATTAAAAGTTATAAGAACCCCACGGGGAACAGTCAGGATCGTGACGTCTGGAAGTAGTTGGACGCTTAAGGCACACCAGAACGAAAATCGTTAATTGGTATATTCGTGATCGTAGAACGCACGTTTTATTAATTAACGAACAACGGGACGGGGTTTTGTCATCGATAAATGTATGGCGACGGACTTTTACGGGGCACCCGATAAATAAAACGTTCGAGAGTACGGATAAACTCGACTCGGCTCGGCTCTTTGCGATCATCGTTGGACTTCTGAGAAGATGCCCTCCGCCACAACTTCACCGAAGACCTTGTCTCGAGACAAAAATTGCACGATCGTCCGATATCAGCCATCGAACATGGCCGAAATGGAAAACAAAAAAAAAAGATGTCCCCCGTGATCGTTAAATCAACAACGGCAACTATATGGATAATAGTACTGACAGCACTAACGGTAATTAATAATATTGAGAATACAGTAATCAATAATTTACATTTACAACTTCCACGTACTTTGTTTTTACTCAGCGAATTAATTATTATTATTTCCCTATCTACTTTTACGGCATGCTTAACGTTTTACGCTCGCCCATCCCTCAAACGCGATACAGTCTGTACTCAACCGTAAACACCTAAACGAAAGTGATAAAAAAAAAACGCTCGAACGTATTCTATAATATCTATAAAAAAACAGAAGAAGAAGAATAAGACGAGTAATCGTAAAAAATATACAGAGCAAAACGCGTAATGTACAAATCGATAAAATAGATGTATTGCAGAATTCTTTCTCCCTCTCTCACTCATATACACACACAAAGCACACACACATACACTCTCTTTCTCTCACTCTCCCTCTTTCCCTCTTACTTTATCCGGAGGTTATAGATTATTTGAAAGACGCCCCGTGTCGGGACGAGGATGCAACAAAAAAAATGTAAACGGTCACGATCCAGAACGTGGTAAAGACACAGCGTGTCCAGCTTTTCAGTTACCCGTAGGGGACGCGGTACTACGGTACTATGAAGAATATCATAAATATTAAAAGTTCGATAACAAAGCACTGCTCGGACGACGCAAATCGACGAGTACGCGCGGAAGTATGAATCCCCAGAATGAGCCACGTCGGCTTCGAAAAGTAATTGATCCGGCCCGATCAAATGGGAAAAAGATAAATAGTTGCATGCACGATGACGTGCTCCTCCTCATTCCGTGATAATCTTGCACACGGCAGGTTATCTTCATAAACTATCGTCACTATCGTCGGCATGTGCTTCGACCGAAACGTTCCCAGGCAGGCCAGCGGCACTTCCTTCTCTATTATTTACAATCTCCTGCTCCATCGAATTATTCTCCGCTTGCTGTTCGTCTGTGTGCAGACAATAATAACAATAAAACATTGCGCCAAACTGCGCTGAGAATATTTCAAATTAATCAAATTCTTGAGACGCGAGTGACCATGATATAACATGTCTAAATAAATGATCATTGTCTCCAGGGCCGTTACTGGCGGGGGGTGCAAGAGGTGCCCCTGAACCTGGACGGCCAAACCTAGGGGCGGTCGCTGATCGTTTATTATATGTAAAGTTTTGGATAGTAACAATGATAATCAAGCCTTTTTTATGATTATAAAAATGTTAACTTATTGATTGTAGTTTACAGTGCAAAAGAACTATTTACTGTAAGAAAGCCTATGTAGAACTTAAGATGGAAATATTTCTTCGTTACTCTAAAACGATTCGTATTTAAATATTGGAAAAAGCACTGCTCACTCTTAGACCGGTAAGTTCCTTTATCGATGTAAAAAGATCAAGTGGTAAAGCGGATATATCTTAATAATCTTATTGTATTAAATCGAGATTACCTGACTGCGTTGTCGGAGATTCCTCGTCCCCTTGACCCGGATTCAATATAGCTTCTTTGATTTGACTGTTGACACCCTTTGGATCTAGATCTGTCGCCCAACTAAAGTACATTAGTGCGAGGTGTGTATTGCCCAACTTTTTATGCACCTAAAGAGAACGACGAACTCACGTGAAGAAACGGAAAACACTACTATATAGTGTTGTGATACGAACAAGTAATAATGGTCCTTACTTTTCCTATCGAATAATAGACTAGAGACTCTTTGGGTACAATGTTTTTCAGCTCCTCAAATTCACTGAGCGCTTCTGCGTGCCGACCAATTGAGAAATTAATACTCGCGCGATGAAACTTGCATAACGTATTGTCGGGATCATTTGAGATCGCAGTATTCAAGGTCTTTAAAGCTTGATCGGTTTTCTTTAGCGCGTGCTGCACAACACCGATGTGGCACATTATCGCCGAGTTCTGCGGATTAATTTGCAATGCACGTTTGAAATGCAATTCTGCCAGACTATATTGTTCTTGTTTAGAGAATATCGTTCCTAATCCAAACCTGTATGGCAAAATATACATTGTAACTGTCGTAATGAATTTTCCAATTTTGGGCCACAGAAATTAATTTCTAGATTTAATATATCGAATAGTTAATACGTAGATTTCGAGAAAATCCTAATAAACCGTACAGATTTATTTTAATCGAACGTACCATGCATTATAATGCCTAGAGTCGAGCCTAATAGCGCTACGAAATGCAGTAATGGCCTTGTCCAGCTCTTCCGTCATTACGTATTCATGACCAAGAAGTGTATAGGCGTATGGAAAATTAGGGTCTACCTGTAAATGTACAAGCATAGAACGTTCATATCGATTACAGTAAAGAGTAAACTTCAAATTCTTCGGAAATATTGAAGCATTCGAATGGAAAACGCACCTGGATAGCTCTCTGAAAGAATTTGATCGCTGTTTCGTGCTCCGTTTGTGCGGAAAACAAGTTTCCAGTGGCGCACCAAGCAGCTGGTGAATTACGATCTTCGGAAACAAGTTCTTGTGCAAGGGTGGAGAGCTGTACTTCAGCATGTAAATGCCATAAAACTGTACTATAAATTTCCATAAGTTCAGTCCTTTGGGGTTCCAACTGTCTAACTTCTGCAAAATAACTGTGTACCAAGGAATAATAAGTACCAACTTAGCTAAAACTCAAAATTTAAATCGATGAACAATTTTCCTGGACTTTTTACCTAGCAGCCTTTTTGTAATCGATCATTTCAAAGTGCGCACGAGCCAGCATCGACAGTACCCATCCTGTATTATAATGCTGTGCTGGAAGAATAGTTAATATTTCAACGGCCTGGGCACAATTGTATTGACTTAAATGTTGATATGCCATTCCTAATTCTCGTAGCAGTGACATTAAACCCTCTAGAAGCATATAAAATACATGGTTGAGTCTAAAGTTGAAAAGGAAATATTTCCTTCGTAGCATTACAATGTTTGTAACATACCGGCACATTGTTTTTGAAGGGTCACCGCACAGAAATTGGTGTTACTTTGATTGTTCAATGCATTTACATTAGCTACCGCCTTCTCTGACGTAATAGTTTCACTTTTTTCCTTCTCGTTTCGGTTTCTTTCATTTAGTTCATTAAAATTGGCCTTATTTAAATTAGTCTTTGAGAGTCTAGCCTTCGTTTTCCGAGACGGAGATTTAGGCGTGGCAAATTTATTCCTATTAGGAGACTTATTATTTTCCTAATAAAAACGAATGTACGTCATTTATACCAGTTTATGTATCATTTGTAACATCTGAAATTAAAAATTTAAAAAAGGGAATAATTACCTTGACTGAATAACTATGACTGAATAGCCTTGACGAACGCCTAACGTTGGTACCTTGCAGCGTCGGTGCTGCAGGTGTTGGAGTAGTAGGCGTTACCGTTACGATATTTGCACTGTTACTCGTATTTCCGGATTGTGAAAATACTGGTTTTCCTTGCTGCAAAGGTGTTTCTTTTCTCGACATCAATTGCTACAAATGAAAATAGCACATTACACATCTACAGAATCTGCATTGAATGTTACCCGTTTGAAAATACGATAATTATTATTTAAGTCTTACCCCTACATGAGCCCTTAAACTACTGACACGTTTTACTAAACTTTTCTGATCGTTAGCTTCTGTAAGCGTCGTATGTGAAGGTAAAACGGTTGGTTCAGGTGTATTGCTTTCCAATGGTAAGATACCAAAACTTGGAGTAAGAGGACTCATAGTATTATTGAACATGCTACGGTACCGTGGAAGTTTAGCTCGTGGTGATATTGAGGAGATATTACTGTAATGTGTGGGCTGATTTTGCGGGCTCTCGTCTACAGAATATAATCGTACACCAGGTCCTATACCGTTCATGATAGTTGCTGTTGTTGTCACTTGTGCAGGTGTACTGCAAGACATAGTGATAATGTAGTAATACAATTTAAATACTACAATTTGAAATCTGTTTTGTGAACGTATACATACACAGTGGTGCCATTTGTGGTAGGTGTACCATTCAAATTGTTAGTAGGTACAATGAGATCGGATTCTGTAGCATATGCGGGAGCAGATATACTACCATGGCACATTGCGAAATTATCTAATTTATCTAGTTGAAAAACTTTTGTAGGGTCTACCGCTTCACCAACATTGCACAGCTCTTCGAATGAATGCCAAAGAAATGGATTCAATTTTAAAGCCAATTTATGTGCATCGTTCCCTTTCGCGGTACGCATCATTTTGTAATAAATCTTGGCTATGATCTGAAGCGAGAAACACGCATGCTCACCGAACTGAGTTATGATTTCTTCTAGATTTTTTAACTGCTTATAATATCCTCCTATTATTGCTGCTTCCGCTTCTGCATATCTACAAATAAAAATGTTAGGTTATATGTTGATTTTAGATTGGTGCAAAAAAAGTTGTAACATTGTGCTCACTTCTCTAAGTCATAACAACACTTGGCCAAAAGAAATCTGCATTGTGCAGAGCTTGGAGCTTTTTTAGAAAGCAATGCATAAGCCTGTCTAACTCGTCCAGAACGATAATAACATGTTGCCAATAGGAATAAAGTTTCTTCTGTGTCAACTGTAAAACATTTCAATTAATATCGCAATTGCATAACAGAAGAGTTAATTATTCCAGAAGTTATTATTGAAGAAAAATTCAAACTTGCCTTCTGCGCATAATCTTTCTGCTAAAAATATTGCATCTGGATAAGCATAATGATTTAAACAATGCCATATGGCTGCCTGCAATTACATACATCATAATATATTGACAAAACCTATATAGGTGCACAATGATAAAAACGTTTTGTTATTGTGGTATTGTAAACAAGGAAATAAATACACAGTATTTATATAAAATCACTCTCACACAAAGTAATGTGATTGAATTCGTAAAATGTAGTAAAATTGAGTACAGAATACAAGGAAAAACTCGTAAACATCGTAAACGTTTGAACTTATTTATAGTCATATCCCCTCCCATTTACGTCCATTTCGCAAAAGCAAACAACCCTAAAGAAATACACCCTTATAGAAAAGTATGTTTAACAGGATATTAGATGAAATTACAATAACACAACGAAAGATATATTATCCAGAAGAAAACGGAACGTCACGCAATATTGCGCAAGATTTACGATCATTTTCCTGTTCAGAGGAAAACATACGCGTAAACCATTTCAATTTCTGATGTCAGTATCAATAAGTGTGGATGCGCCCCGATAGAAAATCGCACGTCACTGGCAGTTTTCCCGTTAAACTCGAATGATTTTACCTGCACTGGCTCCTGTACGATCATCGTTCACACGGCAGACTCGGTCATATAAGAATAATCACGAACGTTTCAAGAAAATTTAACGAAGAAAATCCAAAGTCGAATGACTGCTGTGTATAAAAATTTCTTAGGAGTCCATCTTTGCTCCGATTCTTTTGAAGTGAACAACCGACTTCAGGACGAAGGCTCACCAACATCGCGGAAACGTCAGTTCCATGCGAAATGAACAGAACTTGTGCACATAAGCGTTACAACTGCACGCAGAGTTCGAATCTCTGTTCTGATAACCAATTTTTCGTGACGAATATTAAGTTGTATTAAGTACTTCTTCTATCTACTGTAGATTAATTTAGAATTTCCTTCAAAATTCTATTTAGTACAGAATTGTACGAAAAAAAATGTATACCGAACATCAATATTCTACATTTGTTTACATGTTCGTACTGTTTCAGAGGGATAAAATAAAAATAGTTACTACACAATTAAATGAACATGCAAAATTTTCGATTATTTAAAATTTGTTTATTTTATTATTACTAGTCTCTTCTTAACATTTATTTCCGATGATACATTGCGAAACATGTTTCATTATTTATAAATTGTTTACAGAGTTTGGTTGGTAACGCGTGAGTGCAAATTTAAGTTGGATGTTGTGCTAAACATGAAATATTGTATGTAAAAGCAAGGATTAAGTTTAAAATTTTCAAATTCAATAGTATTTTGACACGTACAGAAATTTCATAATTGTAATATATTCATCAAGTATTAATAGGGACAAAGTATGTTTACATATACACATATGTACATGTCCATTACTTCTTGACACAAATGTGCATTATGTAGCTACTTATTAGAAGAGTATATATTGAAAAGTAGAAATACCTTATAAGTGGTATAATTAACACAAGGTATTATGTACACAGTATTAAAAGTATACTTTAATGAAAGAACATTTCATTGAAGCAAAAATATAAATAAAACTTTATTTAAATAATTCTCTTGTAAATGTATATATACATGATAGCTATGTGAGTATTTAGTTACATAAAAAATATATTTAAACAATCTAAATATATAATATTATTTTGCAGATTTTAAAAATAATACAATCACAAGAATTATGTAATATTTTATTTTCCAAGGATGTATTGTTTATTGCGTCCTTGTTTTCGTGCAAGTTCTAGACTGATAACAAAAGTCAAGTTGAAATATGTCTGCATCTGTGTCAGTCTTATCATACTACTTGATTTTTTCGGAGCATTCACACATCTCCTTGAAGTCACATATGACTCAAATTTTGTTTACCCTTACGAAGGTGATGTGCACGAATTTGTGAATGCACTGAGACACAAAGAAAAACCTAAAGTCCCACCTATAAATGAGTTCAATTACACGTTTATACTCGATAATAAACAGAAATGCATAGATCCAGCATATAGTAGTTATCGTGTAGTGTACATAGTGAAGTCTTCAATTGAAAACTTTGAGAGAAGACTGGCAATTAGAAAGTCTTGGGGCTTTGAAAAAAGATTCTTTGATGTGCCATCAAAGACACTTTTCATGTTAGGTGTACATCCCAATGACAATGAACTTCAGACAAAGGTAGAAGCAGAGGCTGCAAAATATAAGGATATTGTACAAGTAGATTTCATCGACTCTTATTACAATAACACTATTAAAACAATGATGGCTTTTAAATGGTTAGTAAAATATTGCTCAAATTCGAAGTTTTATATGTTTGTTGATGACGATATGTATGTGTCGGTGAAGAATGTTTTGAGATTCATAAGAAATCCAGCTAATTATCCAGACTACCTTAAGGAACCTAAAAAAATTGGAGCTCATAAAAGAGAAATCAAAGATTCCTATGAAATGGGAGAATCAAATAATAAAGATGCAGTTACAAACAAGATCAGCAATACTTTAACTGAAAGTCATCTTCCTGAAGACATAATAAATACTTTCACTACAAATAAGTTTACCCATACACCGAAACAAAATTCTCATGATAATATTCCCACTAAAACATCTGCTGATAAGTTTAATGCATCAAGCTTTAACGAGAAAAAAATTATGAGAAATGATATTACTCTTAACAGAAGAAAAAGACAAATTTTTGATTTAGAACTTCCAGAGGATGTGAGATTATATGCAGGTTTTGTATTTGTATCTTCTCCACATCGTCATAAATCTTCTAAATGGTATGTTTCTCTTAGCGAGTATCCTTACCATCTATGGCCACCATATGTAACAGCTGGTGCGTATATACTGTCGAAAGAAGCTCTATTGGATATGTATTATACTAGTTTTTATACGAAATACTTCAAATTTGATGATATATATATAGGCTTAATTGCAAAAAAAGCTGATATTGAGCCTTTTCACTGTGAAGAATTTCATTTTTACAAAAAAGACTATACAAAATTTAATTATAAATATGTAATCACTTCTCACGGATATGGAAATCCAAGTGAATTACTAAATGCATGGAACGAACAAAAAGCTCTTGGTAATGCTTAGTTTTGTAATTTTCAGTTAACTCTGAAAATTGTACATTAGTCAACATTAGTCATTATTGAGGTTCTGTACTTACATTTCATTCCTTCTTTTTTTTAGAATACCTATTTATTAATTATGTTTAGTTAATATATTTCAATATATTTTTACATTTTATATGTGAAATATCACAGAATATAATATTATATATGTAGTTCTGAGTTTAGCTGATTTTATATTATAATAGGTCTCAAAACATAAGTTAATGGCAGGATACAAAGTCATAAAGAATTGTACAAGTATTCTTAAATGTTTTTTTTTTATAAAACTAATTTATTATAAAATACATTAGAAAAACAGATCAATATCTGAAACAGACCTAAAAATATTATTAGTCAGTCTTTATGTGCATAGCAAGTTATTATGGTAGATTTGAATTGTTGTAATATTTTCATGTGACTTAGAATGTAAGAATAATATTCAAGCAAATTGTAATTATTACTGTTCATTGAATACCAATCTTCAGTGTTATATTTAACACATGGCATAGCTGCTTACTTACACCTGCATAAAAGGTAAAAAAATTACTCTTAGTTTAGTGAGATCATTCTATTATGGAAGTAAGAGCGACAACAAATATGTTATGATAAAAAAAGATAAAGAAAAAATGATTAAAAAATATTAGGCCATGAATACAGTAAAAATTTCAAGAAAGAATGTGTGTACAGAGAAATATTTACAATTTTATACTTGTTGAACTGTTGTCATCCGCGTTGTATCTATTCATATGTAAGAATTCAATAAACATATTTTTTAAATTCATGTACTCAGTATTTTTTAGTTCTCTGTACTTTTTATTGCATACTTATGGTCGATACTGTTGTTGGTCCATATTTGCTTTAATTAGTGTTTGGTCTAAATTTGTAGCTTCCCTTTTAATCATGTTCAATAAAAGCTGTGAGCTCTCTAAGATCTACAATAATAAATTTTATATTAGCTACTTTTGTGAACTTCTAAAGTTTGATAATAATAAAACAGAAGGTGCACATTTGTTTTTTAAATAGACATACAAATAAATGTACCTTTATGTATGCTGTTTCTGTATCAGAAATGGTTCTATCATATTCGTTTCTAACAGCTATTGTTTTAGTTAAGCTGTCATTCAATCGTGTTAATTTATAAGACAACTTCTCTATTTCCCTTTGCAAATTATTTTTTTCTTCTTCCTGTGAGTCGATCTGTGTTTGCAACTCTATACGCCGTATTTTCATCTCCTCTAAACCTAAAACAAAATTAAAAACTATTAAGAGAAAATAAATAACTATGTACAGAATATTTTCTGATGAAATTACAACATAAAATGACTACTAGTCCATCAAGATTTTTATTCCTTACGTGTACGATAGTTTAAAATAACTTGTAGGTTATATTAAAATCCCTTACACTTTACCAGTTCTTGGTTGTAGGCTTGTAAAGCAGCGCCGTGTTGAGACATTTTAAACCCTCCATACACAAATTAATAATCACAAATTTTGTGACAAAGAAAAAGAATTTTGTTGGGAGAAAAATTTAACTGACAATTTTGCTTCAGACAATATGTACTCAATTAAACAAGCGTTTCAGTTTTGCCGCGGAGCTAAAAAGACGTTATCTGCAACGCATGCGCGCTTGTTAATATGAAGCTTTCCTTAAAATTTAAAAATCACAATTCATACTTGGAATTTCTTTGTCACAAGCATAAATTTTGTATAACCGTTAGCTTCTATATGCAATATTGAGAAATGTGGGTACAATAAATCTATAGATTTTTCGTTTTATTTGATATATTTAAAAACACCTGCGCTTTTAATTTGATGCTGGAATGGTAAATTATCTCAACTTTATTTAACTGATGCATACGGTAAAAGAGAACCAAAACCAGAAGAGAATGTAAAAAGAATAATATTAGATATATAGTATAATTTCAATTATTGGAACAACGCTTATCCGAACATTATTGTTTCATCAAAATAGATTACAAATCAGTTTTAAATAATACGAATCGAAAGATTAAATGATCTCAAACTGTTATATTACAAAAATGTTGGAGCAAGAAAATTAAAACCGAATAAAATAATTAAATTCTCCATAATACAGAATAGTAAAACAAAAAAACAGTTTACACTTGCGACTTTCGTTAAAGGACATATATATCGTTTGATCGACACTGTATATTAATATTCACTATTAAAATCTATGTTCACTTCTAAACACTATGAGCGTAACCAGTTCATATAATCGAGGTTCCATTGTATATTATGTTTTCAACAGAATTGAAACTTTAACCTATTGGATGCTGGTCCAGGACCCAAAACCATTATTGACAAAGTTGGAAATGCCTTAGCTTTCCAATGCACTGAAGTGTATACCTCGAAATGTTTAATTTTTAAAGTCATTTTTTATAACAACAATACAGTGTTAACAGTTAATATTCACGTTTTTGTTTATACACGACATGCACTACATTTTGCATCAAGACTTACAGAAAAGGAGCTCATCCCGATCGTAGAATTCTCTCGTAAGAAAAACAATGCATCTGTTTGCCTTCCTTTTAAAGGCGTCACGAAGTGTTTTCGTCGGGCAAGCTACAATAAATGCACCTTTCGCTCGGAATCTTCACTCCAGCAGAAAGCGTGAAAGCCGCGGAAACGTGTACATGTATACGGTCCCGCTCTACCTCCATCGATCGATCGATCGTGAATAAATCAGTAGTTTCCGAACCGTGCTCAGAATGATCTCGTCTGTATCTTTCGAAGTATAGACGTACAGTGTTTCGTTAAAGGTACACAATGTACCGAATATGTACCGTTACGGCTAATACGTGCAGAATCAAATGCTCGATATGCTCCAGTATCACTGTACGATTGATCTACGCTTTCTAGCGAATGAAACACGTTTTATGCATAAACAACTACATACAACCACCTGAGAAGCTTTCACGTGAAATCTCGATCGACAGCTTGCAGAACAACTTTACTTTCGACAGGTTTTTTTCAACATGGATATGTCAGGTATGACAATATTAAGATTAATCTTAAATGGTACTGTCCGTACCAGTCACTGAAAACTATAATCGTACTAAATCTTGTGTCCTGGTTCTCGACGGATATTTTTCATTTAAATGTCTATTTTATTACAACGGCATACCGTAAAAAACGAATGAAAATCGATACGAATTGAAAAGCAATATAGGTACGTTTGGTTCTAAGTTGACACGATTTATGGCGCTTGCGCAGGTAAATTACTCGATCTTATCCTTTCGAGTATTTACAGATTTCGCGTCCTTATTGAATAACAAATCGCACGAATAAGACGTAAAAATATAAGAACCGATCAATGTGACAGAAATGAAATAAAATGCCTTGTTGTTTCATCCGATTCTGATTGTTTTTATTGCTGATCAAGTGAAATTACTTAAATGCATATGCGAATCAAATTTTATATCATAAATAAAGTGGAGGTTGTGTAATATAGAACATTAATGATATAGATGGATGAAATTTAAATAATTTAAGTAGAATATGCACAAATTGCAAAAAATGAAGGTGACAATTGCATTCGGAATAATCCTGTCACTATTCGAAGATGCACACGACCTTGTCAAATGACATCACGATACTATATTAGGCTTTCTTCGCCGGCGCAAGTGTATTACGACATACACCATACGATAGAAAGATTTTATGCTAATTACATGATTTTATAATTAATGTACAAAGAATGCCACTCCCACTTTGTTGCCCACGTATCATTTTAAAAATCAACATCATTCGTTTATTCTGGTAAATAAACAGTATTCACTTCATCCTTGATGCTTTACACACTTATTCTTCGTAATATCGATTATTGGAAGTGTTAACAATAAATTGCAATAACAATAATTTCACTAAATTGCTAGAATAATTAGTCATTGTACTATTTACTTTATTTACAGGCAGTATAATAAATAATACACAAATGTAAAATCAAGATCATTTGTTTAAATATGTGATATACATAGAAATGTTCTTTTACACCATTCAATATTTATTATGTAAGTTTTCTAATTGCATACAATTAATTTCAAATATTTTATACTATTATTATTTAGATATTAGGTACCTATTTCAAATTCAATGATGCTTATTTTTTAATTTACATTGATTTCTTTTCTAGCTAAGACATATATCATCGGTATATAATTTAAATTGTTCATCAACCTTGACATTTTTATGAGCAAAGCAAACCAACATAGTTATATATAATGACTCATACTTCAAGATATGTGGGATACCATGCTAGTGCAAATCGAGACTACTTAACAGATGGAGATGAAAGTCATCGTGCTCCATCAGACCGCACAGTATCTGAATACATTGTATCAGCTGATCATGCTACAATGGTAATTTGCAGATATACTATATCATTTGCATATATAATTATAAAGCAATGGAACTTATATGCAAATAGTAATAAAAGCGTGTACTTCTCTGATTTATGTTCAATACACTTAAATCCCACAGGTAAAAACAATGAAAAAAGATCGTCCAGAGAAATATGAAAAGGATGAAGGAAGACGTTCACGAAGCGCACACAATAGTCGTGTTTCAGTATTGTCTGGATCATCCAGGCAAGGTCTACATCCCCTTAGAAAAAGTGCTTCGCATGGCAGCATATGTGATAATGGCTCAGACATATATGTTACAAGCGCTGCTTACAGAGCAACATCAGATATAAGGTTGTACAAATAAGAAAGTAAAAAAAAAAGAAACTTAGCTATCAATATGTTATAAATGTTGTCGTTCAACCAACAGCCATGCATCACATCACAGTCTTACTCCGAGTTTAAGAATGGGTCATCGAGCACCTAGTCACTGCAGTTATGGTTCTGCAAAATCGGTGAAATCGCACGCTTCCAGAAAGGATGGTATTATCATAGAAACAATGTCAACACCTAATCCGTTTTGTCCGAATACCAAGGGAGTTTGTTGTCTTATGCTACTACTTAATCTTGGCTTAATTCTTGTCACATTAGGATTTGTTATAGTAATTCAATTCTTTCAACCGCTAATAGTTTGGTGAGCATACAATTAACAAAAGTTATTTAATATTATATTTAATAGGACAATGTATTTATTACTTAACCATATTATTATATTTCAGGATTTTGGGAATAGTGTTTCTCGTATTTGGATTTTTAACTTTGATAGGGAGCCTAATATATTGTGTACATGTATTTAGAAATGCTAAACACCCACACGACATCAATCCAGAAGACCTTTATTGGACAAAATACTGGCAGGGACATGTAGGTTCAGCACCTGAAGTGTACTACAAGGCAGAGGATAAGTATCAAGACGATGGGTACAGTGATCGGCTAAGCAAATACTCAAATAAATATTATGATCGACAAAGATACTAAAAACAACATCTAATTTAATGCAAAACCTGAACATATTCAACGTATTTATATTATAAATATAATAATGTATTATAATAATTATATTATAATGCAATAAGAAACATACGCACCAACTAATTCCAGAAGAAAAAAATTACCTATCATGTGTATTACTATTATTAACATATAATGTAAAGCATAATGTGGATAATTGTATTTTGTATAAAATGATAAGTTATTTATTTTATACACATGAGTTTAAAAGCAATAAAATATCAACTATAATCTACAAATTTTTTAATTCTAAAACGACTAACAAAGAGGATTTCTTGACAGAAATTATATTTTCATTCTATATTGCTTCATACAATTATATAACACACCTTTTCCATCCTTCTTTCATTTAACTTATGATTTTACAAACAAAATGTCTCAGCACAACATATAAATAATACAATACTGTTACCACGTTTTGTCATATCCAACCGTATTATCAAATAACTTTCCATTTAAAAATTTTCCACCACAGTCCAGTAAATAAAAAAACTTTCGGCCTTTAATTTTCATTGGTAAATAACTCTTCATGGCAACTCTTGACATAGTTGTTTTTACCTTAAAAATAATTATTTCCAATTGCACAACTGTATTTATGGAATTTTTCACACTCACCTCATTAGTAGGAACTGTTAGAACTCTTTGGTTTTTAATGAAATGATAAGTAACTATAGATACTTCTTTACCCCCTTTGTGTAAAATAATATATTTTACAAAACGTGTAGTTGATGCATATAGTGTAAAAGCTATCAAAGGTCCTAAATGAAAACATACAAATATTTTAAAACGGTATCTATGATATAGCTATATACAGTATAGTAAAAAAACTATTGCACATTAAATATTATAATAATAAGTTTCACATCTAAATAAGTATCTAGATACTTCAACAATTTTACATATTAAAGGGCCTTCAAAATTATAATAATTCTTTGTATATGAATATATCTTACAATTTAAATATAAATTATGTTATATTACCTACAAGTAATCCATAATAAAAATATATTACAGTTATTCCATTTATTTTCAAATAATCCTTCCAAGATACAGTCTTTGACCAAATTAACTTTATTTTTGGATCATATGTATAATATGATATAAATGCAGAGAAAACCAATGCTCCCACTGCAAATAATTTTAATCCTTGAAAATAACGAGGTTTTTCAAATTTAAATAGTAATACGTTATTTTGCACATCTGTATCCATGAACAATTTATTTTCCATTAAGTTTTCAGCCGATCTTCTGTATGCATAAAAAATTCTACTTATGTTTTGTTATGTACATTAGAAGTAAGTCTAAGTTCGTTTAATAAAATAATCATTTTGTATACATAATTCAACATTACTATGATACCTTGTATTTGTTATTTTGAATGCACGGTTAGGCGAAGAATGATATGATTTACAAAATGTGAAGTCGTTAAATTTCCCATTCTTTCTTAGTGTTTGATAAAAAAACTGTAATTTATTAATTGCACGTATATTTGTGAAAGTATTCTGGAATCGTAACGGATTAAACATTTTTGCAATGTAGAGATTGTACATGAACCAATAAACATACAACGCGTTTTCACATGAATTGCTTTTATACTTCACTATATCTAAAAACTGCAAAATTTTATTTCTATTTATATATTCTACTTATTTTTTATTTGTACATTTTAAATAATAAAAAAGATTCTAAATATGTTGTATATTTTTTAATTTGTTTGCATTTTTAGGTTATAGACTTTCATCGCCATATGCATACAATGTATGTATATAAATTTTATGGTAGTGGTAGATCTACATCATGCTAATATGGTCGGCATAAACAATTTTTAATAACACAATTACTATGAGAATTCACGGTACATAGATAAACGACTTTTTTAGATTAAAATAATATAATCTGAACATATTTAGTATTACTGTATAATAATTTAATATATAATGTAAATATGAACAAAATTTTAATTCGAATCTATTTGCAATAAACAGCAAAATATAACAGTAGAATAAAATATTTTAGAATAAAAATATGATTTGTAGAACAATAACAACAGCCACGCAAAATATTATTTTATATTAGAAAGATTAAAGTTTTCAATTAAGAATTAAAATATGAATTAAAATCCATCGTAGTAAAGGAACTTGATATTTGTCAAATGTATTGAAATATTTTTACATGTATCAGTTTAATACATGATCGTTTTCTTTGTGTAATTTTTAATTATGGATCTAAGAATAAGTACTTTCACTTTTCTTCTCATAATAACATAACTATATGTACATATATTTAGAAATTGACAAAAAATATGATCGTATATTCAAATAAATTTTTTAACAATACATATTTAAAAATATGTAAGGAATCAAATTTTCATAGTATTTTATCTTTGATTGCATATTACTCAATTGGTATTTTAATATGTCTTTGTTAATTTAATACGAAACATATCATTATATTATTATTATATGCTTGCTTGACAGAACTTCCCGTTAAAGTCATTCAACGTGAACGTTGACCATTGACTGGCGTTGACGTTTATCATCGAAATGGTATCAGTTGTTTTGGTTAAAATAAATTGTTAAAATGGGTGATTTCTTGGCAGCTAACAATATTTGCGGCCAAAATTTATTACGTTTGGTGTCTCGTGGAAATGCTATTATAGCAGAATTGATGAGATTAAAGGATTATGTGCCGCCAGTATTTAGGTTATTTCTTATTGTCAACATTATTTTACAAATAAAATAAAAATTATTGTCATAACAATTGTTACATCTTAATTTTCTTATAATCATAAATATCTATATTTCTTAATTCACAGTTTAGATTCAAAGCAGATGGTACAGAAATATGGATCAATTATAATTGATTTTGCTTATTTCAAGTCTGTTAATATTTATGAACAAAAAATAGAAAATGATCCAGTAAGTAAATAAAAAATAGGAAGTATATATAAATAAATGCATATAATTATTTTTACATGGTTTCGTTTAAAATTTTTATTGTTTTAATACTATAGTTGAAATCTATAAAAATATTCTCCATTAAATTTTTATCTCTATTTGAAATAATTTTTACATAGGTTCTTCAGGAAACAGATGAAGAACTACGAAATAATTATTCGGACATTATTTCAAGATTTTATTCTGCATTCGAAGGCATACACAAGTATGTTACTGACTTGAATCTTTATATGGACGAATTAGGGGATGGAATCTATATTCATCAGTCTATAGACTCTATTATGTTAAATGAAGAAGGAAGACAATTAATGGTACTTTGATAGTTTATAAACATTGGTTTAGTCGTTCAAAATAATGATGCATTTAGTAAGGTTGATTTGAATTAAACTTTTTTTATAGGAGTTAATATATCATTGCTTCAAACTTTTTCAGTATACATATAAGGTTTTGTAATATTTTTTCTACTGTATAAATATCAATATAATGTCTAATTTATATCAACAGTGCGAGGCAGTATATTTATATGGAGTTATGTTACTTTTGGTGGATCATCATTTTGAAGGATGTATAAGAGAAAGATTACTAGTGTCCTATTATCGATATAATGCTCAGCGTTCATCTTACACAAGTGTAGACGATATATGTATGTTACTTCGTTCAACAGGATTTTCTAAAACTTCTAATAAAAGACCCTCAAACTACCCAGAAGAATATTTTAAGTAGGTCATTAAGCAGTTGTAAGTTTAACCTAGCTTTAATTTCTGTTTATACAAACATTTAAATTTCAGAAGAATACCGTTGAATGAATCTCTAATAGAACATCTCATTGGACGTTTACGATCAGATGAAATATACAATCAGAGTCTTGCTTATCCGCATCCAGAACATCGCAGTACTGCTCTCTGTAATCAGGCATCAATGCTGGTCATAATTTTATCATTTAAACCAGCCATGTTGCATACGCACACAGCTATTATGAGAGAAATAGTAGATAGATTTTTCCCTGATAATTGGGTTATTAGTATTTATATGGGGATCGTAATAAATCTATGCGACTGGTGGTCACCTTATAAAGCTGCAAAAACGGCTCTTAATAATACACTCGAATCTTCAAATGTGAAAGTGATTGCACAAAAATATGGTCAAAAATTGAAGGTAATTATGTTACTACATTTCAAATTAATAAAGTTCGTTATTATACTTAAAATTTATTTTAGAAACTGATATCAGAAACGGAAGAAGTGCAATTGGCAGTCACGTTCGATGAAAGCGCCGTAGGATCACTGGTGAAGCTAATAAAAGAATCTAATGTAACTTTACATTGGATACTTTTACATACAGCGATGCCAACTATATCATTAGAAGATTCGAAACGTGTGCGTATGCTCAGACAGCTGGTACTGAATGAAAGCAAATATACAATAACTGATTGTCTTCAGCTACTACTAAGTACTGCACAGATTGAACAAGATGTCAAACAGTTGTACAAAGATGTATGAACAGTAATAATTCTTATTATGCTTGTCACGTACAAAATCAATGAAGCACTGCATATAATATTTATTACTGAATTTTAGTTGTTAATCGGTAAAGAAACTAAATGGCTTAGGGATAAAGGAATATGTGTCGAACGGATAACAGACCTTGCTCAAATATTTGGAGGTAACAAATCTCTCGACGGCATTGAGAAAAATAAAAATTTACATTCGTGGTTTATGGTGATAAGCAAACATATCGAGTCATTGCAACAAGAGGATGGAAGAAAAATAGTATTATTATTGCAAGCATTAGAAGAAGTGCTAGGTAATTACGAGACAACTAAAAATATATACGAATAACAACGAGTCACACTGTCGCATTGATTTCTATAATGATTCATCATTTGGATTTAAACTATTTCAGAGTTTCATCAGTTGGAAAATAATTTACATATATCTCAGTATTTAGCTGATACACGTGAAATATTACACAACATGATACGCACGGGAAGTATCACGGAGGACACTATGATTAGCTTAAATATAGTAACAGATTGTTGCTACGCATGGAACATAATGGAATCATTTATTGAGACAATGCAAGCTAGTATAAAAGAAAGTCCTCCGACTGTAATAAAATTGAAAGCGTTGTTTCTGAAAGTAACTTTTTATTTTTGCAATTTAGTGTTATTCAATAAAATGGGCATCTTTAATTATTTAAAAATTTATATTTTGATTTATTTTTAGATGGCTTCTGCATTGGAAACTCCTTTACTAAGAGTGAATCAAGCACGTAGCGCGGATTTATCATCAGTATCCCAATACTATAGCAGAGAGTTAGAAAAATATGCGAGACATGTTTTACAAATAATACCTGAAACAGTGTTCGGTTTGCTTGCTCAGATTGTATACCTCGAAACAAATGCTTTTAAGGAAATTCCTACTAAATTACCAAAAGATAAATTAAAAGAATATGCACAGTTAGACGATAGATTAAAAGTATGTTCTAATTTCTAATTTTCTATTCTTTTCGAAATATAGTAAAACTATATTATTGATTATTATATGATATTAGTGATTTTTTTAGATGGCTAAGTTGACGTACGCTGTATCAGTCTTTACGAAAGGTGTACTATCTTTAAGAAGTGTTCCTTTAGGAGTATTACGAGTTGATTCTCATCGTCTTTTAGAGGATGGTATACGACAAGAATTGGTAAAAAAAGTTACAGTAGCCTTGGACAATGGCCTTGTTTTCGAACCAAAATCAAAAGTGAGCTTTAAATTGATATTATTTCAATTTTCCAATGTAAGTTCTTCCATTCAAATTTAATTTTACGTTAACACATTGTTTTAGACAACGATACTACAGAAACTTGATAATTTAGCCGCAATTATGGACGGTTATCGTAAATCATTTCAATATATACAAGATTACATAAACATTAATAGTTTAAAAATATGGCATGAAGAAGTAAGTGAATCCACAAGTTTTATGAGATTTATCGTTGTACTTATACATATTTGTACCAATTAGTCTTTTCATTTGTAGATAACATATATTATAAGTAACGCAGTAGAAGACGAATGTACAGATTCTTCCTGGATTCCGGAGAGATCATGGAGATATTTCCAAGAAGAGAAACATGTGCCTGTATTGGATAATAATTCTGTAACTTTTATTGGTAGACTCGCGCGTGAACTTACTCGGATAACTGAGCCTAGGTAAAATTTTTCATTTTTTTGCCATTAATATTAATTATTTTTCGGTGTGTATTATGTATGTCTATTTACGTGTTTTTAGGACAACTGTCTACATTGAACATTCTCTTGCCTGGTATGACCTTAAAACGCAGGCAGAGGTTTTAAATTATAAGATTTTCTCAAAAATATTAGAAGCGATAGGTACACCCGGCTTGACAGGACTAGACAAACTTATCTCATTTTATATTGTCACCGAATTAAATACCATGATTCGTTACATAGAAAAAAACCTTCGCAATAAAACCTGGGCATCTATACTAGATCACTTTGAACCAATATTAAATTCCGCGGACGGGCCTAAAGGTATTTCTGTTACTTCGACGTATCGGTATGTATTTAAATGAATCAATAAATTCGTTTCATTTAATGCCATTCAGGTAATACGCCAAAGCTTCATGCCGCCGTCGCGACTCATACTAATAAATTCTGCCCTCAATTACTTGAATGGATGTTAAAAATTGGACACTGTCAACTTCTTAAAAAGAATATAGCCTACGAATTGAATACTGCGTGTAAGTTCGAAGCTAAACATATGGAAGCAGCACTTCAAACAATGAACACGTACGTCTAAATATATTACGCAAAGAACTCGTCTTCCACACTGATAATAGAATTTTTTATCTAATTATTACTTTCTTTTATAATTTGTAGAGCCATTTTACTTGAAATTGGTAAAGGAAACGATAGCGATCAAAATGAACCCGAAAGGAGCGAGTTGTTGCGGGAACTTAATGTCAGACTGGATTGGGCTGGCATAAGTGATCCGCATAAGAACGTTTATATTAAATCACCAAACATAAACAATATTGCACTAATTATGTTTATACTTACTGTATCACAGTTACCGAAAGTACACTACTGCAGAAATACAGGTAATTAATATACAAATATACAGAAATGTTTCTGTGCGACTAAAATATTTATAAGCACTATATATATATTATAGGAAGTCTTTTGAGTAAAAAAGCTCAAGATTCTCTTGACGCTGTAATATTTGCAATTGGGGTGCAAACTGTTTTACGCCAGTGCAGATTTTCTGCGATGACTAGCTACGTCAAATATCTTTGTGCATACATTTCTTCCAGTGTTACACCAGACAGGTATAAATATATTTCTTTGCCAGCTCGTAATTATAATGTGCATTAATGCTTTTAACATTAAATCGACAGCGTAAAAACGGGAAGCGATGGAAATTCCGAGGGGGCTAACAGTTTACATTTTTTGGAGCTGTTTATAAAATACTCTGGTTTACCACGTTCGTTTATACTCAAAGAAATTCCAGTAATTGTTATGGATCATTTCCAAGCGAAGACTGCTAAATAGATTTAAGTTTCAAGTTATAACACAAGTCCTTCGGTAAAACCGACTGGTATTACATTAAAATATAAAAGAACGAATAGCCTATATTTTGTACATATGTTCACATATAAATTTGTATTTTGTACATATATGTATTGCGATATATAACAATTGTACGAGTTATTGTTAAACATAAGAAATAAAATTCTATTATTACCATAAAAATTGTGTGCCTAATATTGAAATGAACTATTTAGATAAAAATCATGTATGTAAGTTTCTTCATTTAAAAAATAAATTACGAAGAATTTCCAATGAAATCATTCATTAAAAATAATTTATTGTCTTGAAAGTAACGAATAATGTCTCATACCTCGATTGATTCTACAGATATTATTTAAAATGTACTTTAAGCAAGTGTCAATTTATAAAGATTCTATTACTCTGAAAAAAATGAAGCTGTCAATGCGTGGGACGTTATCGCCAGCATCTGCAGTGGGAATTTGTATACGCATTGGCGGCTGAAGGCGTGATTCACCGCAAACGGCGGCGATGCGTCGGTTTTAGAAGGGTTTTCTCAATACAACCCATTTTAAATTACACTTGCCCGATATTGTCTGACCAAATTACAAAAATTATCGCATTGTACAGACTAACGACATGATTTAAACATTACCATGTTCGGTATTTTCTCAAATATCGTAATTTAATAAACGTAGGCGGCTTCGTCGGCTAGAACGGCCGTTGGGGAAACGTTGGAGGCGCCGTCAGCCGCACCTTTCTTACGAAATATAAGAAAGTAATATTTAACCGTTTAATACTATGTTCCGTCCATATTGAAAGTTTTTGTAACGAAAAAAAAAAATATGGTTATTTTACTGTATTTATGGTTATCTTGAACAAGATGTGAAGGATTAAATAAATGGACGAAGAATAATAATCGGCGGCTAGGACACGCCATTGACGGCCGTTGACGGCCGTTGGCGGCCACAACGGCGGTCGTCGGCGGCCTGATACAAAAGGAACTGCGATAAATTTCTGGCTCAGTCCCCTTTACGTGCCGCTACAAGACTATGTATATTCTCTCTATACTTATCTGTATTTTACGTTGTACTTTTTTCAAATTAAAAAGTAATACTACGCGTTCGATTTTCAAATATTGACGGTTAAAGTTTTATTATTGTTAAGCAAAAAATTCTGGACTTTCACGTTGTAAATATTAACAGTAACCAATGTTACTGTACAATATCATGTATATTAAGGTCTCGTTTCGTATTTTTTGTTTTACTTAAAATCTATAAATAGTTAGAATAATACTGTATGCTAACTGGGGAGTAACAGAAATGTTGTATACGTGAGTATAGTTGACTTGTAAACTCCTCTCGTAATAGATCCGCTGCTATATTGTAAGTATAACTGTTATTTATATTATTTATTTTGTTAGCTTTGGTATATACGTATGTATGTATGTATATGTATGTCTGAATTTAAATACATGGTCGCAGGTTTCTATGGTCTCGTAAGAAGTTCATCACTAGACTGTTAATGTTTATGCGAATTAAATGAACTGTTATTTCTTCCATGAAATATTTTATATAATACATACATAATATATAATTATACGCGTACGCTATGAACGCATAAACTTTGAAGTCTATATAATCAAGTGCGTGATCGTATAATATATTAAGACGGTAATAGAAACGAAATTATATGAACAAAATTATATTTTCCATTTTTCTAAAAGAGAGGGTACTTTATGGTATTTTAAATTCAAACTGAACTCAACTGTTACTGTCAATGCTTTTGTCCAGTGTAATTATTATTTCGTCTCTACAATTTTCTAGTTCGATAAGATACAAAATAGAAACTATGAAAGAAACATATGTGGATAAAACACATAAAACTGTTAAAGGGTACAAACATTTCTCAGAAAATGTATACACGTCTCAATGGTACTATTGCATTTTCATCGAATCCATTTATTTTCTCTGGGCAATCATTATACTGTTTCATATATTAATATTAATATGGTTATAAAATTATAAGTAATAACGTGTTTTACGAATATTATTAGAGTACCATGCGTGCGAGTATAATCATCGTGCTGGCTTTCGCCACCGGATTGATCGTGGCGACGTCCCAAAACCATAATTATTCGCATTTCGTGAAACATCCTGCGAGACCGCGAGTAATTCGAGGATTCATTCCTGAATTCATGTCCACGGCATATGGTTTCGGGAAAAGGCAAAGCACCGCTGACATTTCCAAAATGAATAAACATGAACGCATTTTATTCACGCTTCTACGGTACTTCCCACAGGGGTGCGTATACTTTCGAATTTTCAACTAGATCGCTAATCATTATTGCCAATAAGGAAAAAAGAATTTGTGTCTATTAGTCATCATTCGACTGCGGATTTTATGCATTTATAGCCTATAGGGCTCTGTGAAATATAATTTAAAAGAAAACTTTCATCGGATCCAACGAGTTTTCTATTTTATTCTGAACTTAACAAGATACTTAAGAGAGAAAATAATTGTCTACTATTATCATAAAAATCCGCAGTCTAGTCATCATAGTTCTTAAAACCACAACTTGCAACATCTTCAATTGTGTTTGTTGTGAATATACAATTAAAAGAATTATATACACATTTCATATTTTAACCATATAAAATATTTTTATTCTTAGAATACCGGTGGAATGGTTACTTCAACAAATGAAAACAAATCCAGCGTTCGCTGCGAAGGTGACACAATTACTACTGGATGGACGTCCAATGATAGATCGTTATAATCCTGAAAGAACAACTTGGCTATCCTAAATGATTTATTCAGTGATCAAATGATGTACACAATTTCTAGCTATACACTAGATAGTTTAATAAATCTGCGATGTTCAAACTATTGCTTTAGTACCGTTAACATATTATCGTTGTTCCTACTAAGTAACAATTATTAGTACTTACGGTTTTTAAGCTTTTACCCTGTCAACCAAATCTGCTCTAAACTCGAAACAAGTATTATCAGATTCTGCTGCAGACCTGATCTTCAGATTTGCTACAGATTTTCTACAGGGTCTGCTACATCGGTTCTGTCAGTAAACTAGCCACAGAAATACAACAGGCCCAGTGACATGATCTGACGTCAGAAATCGAACAGACCTGCTAATATCCTGACAGCAGATTCGCGTCATAAATGCAGTAGATCTGTGAAACTTACTTTATTACAGATTAAATTGATTACACTTTATCTAAATGCATCTGTAAACGATATTTAAGTATTCAAATGATTATTTAATATTAAATTACAAAATTAAATGTATATGTTACCAAATACTAATAATATATGTCGATGATATATTAACTTAACTGTATTGGTGGACAATATAATTAATATAAAAGACCATCGCGACCGAAGATCTCAGCCGGCGAACAAATCACTCTAGTTTTTCGACTCAAAATGCAAAGACTGTGCCGACACTCTGCAAATAATTGATTGTACGTAACAAATACTAACTCTACTTTTGCGAGGACCTAACATTTCCGATGAGGTTCTACTGAATACTGTAGAAAAAAAAGAGGGGGGACGAAATACAATATATTGCACATGTACCAGCCTATCCTTTTTATTTTTATATTCTACCATGTGTTTACCCTGAGAATAATGCCATTCAATACTAAATATGCAAATGTGAATTTATATAACTACGCAAAGGTGTAATAGTTAAAAAATATTCCAGAGTAATTCTCAAATTTTTGAATGTATTATATTCATTACTCATATATACTTGTTATTAATATATTATATTAATGACATTCGTTGTTAGAGCTTAAGCATGCTCGTTCTTTATGTCTAAATCACGTACCAAATTTGATAAATATTCAGAAAATCATTGCAAGTATTAAAGTTTCGTTATTTACTCAAGCTTCGACGAGCATGATAAACTACGCAGCTTCTATATAATTAGACTTACATCCAAAACCGTATACAAATACAAATGCGATGACTTCATAAAGATAACCTCGCAAAATTATTAAAATTGAAACAATTTTGCCACCAAGATGCAGTAAAGTACGAGTATTTATAATTGAAACGTCTGGAAGCATTCTCGTTTCAATTTCCTAACGGTCAAAAAAGCTATATGGAATACTTCAATTATGCGTTTGAATGTGAAATATTTCTCGAAAGAATTCTTGTTTGATTTTAGCACAGTTAATCACAAAGTAGCGATTATGTTTACGATCAAAACAATTAAAATGCAATGATATAGAAATGTACGATGGAGTGTAACATATTTTGTTATAATACATCACCAGAATTCACCAATTTCCCGCTGAATTGCCTCTAATGGGAGAGTCCGCTGTTGTCATCGGTGGCGCGTTCATTCTAGCCGGAATTCTGAAACAGAAAATAAACGTTAATACGAAGTAGTTATACTAAATTAGCAATGATTGAGTCACAACAAAACAATTATTTATTCGGGGAATGTCACCAAAGAATGCAAATTGAACAAAACTGCGTAAATACCAAGTGGTATCAGGAGGAGAATAGAAATCGTGAAACCGGTTCACTTTATCCTACAATACCGAGTTAATTTACGATTATTTACACTGAATTGAATAGATATTAAACGAAAGTAACGATAAAGTGCTAACGAAGATACTAATAGTATAAATAATTTAAAGTGAAAAGTAATAATACTTGTTACCACGAGCGAAATCACTTCACGTCTAATCACTCCGACTTCCCTAATATGAATGACCGTTGGGCCCTGGCCGTACCATCACTACCATCTGGTGTTTGGGTCGTTCAAGGAGGAAGGTCGTTCAAGCCGGCAAAAACAATTCAACACAAACAAACCTGCGTACGCCCAATACATAACGGCGTTAGCTTCCTCACTTTCTCGTGAGCCGTCGCGGAGGGTGGGCGCGCGTCTCATACTCGTCCTTTCTCTTGTTACTAACCCATTGTTTGTTGCAAGCATTCGACAACCATCAATTTATTTACTGTGCATATTGTTGTATCCCCTCTCTTGTTACTAATCCCTTGTATGTTACAGATGTTCGAGAACCATTAGCTTCGATATTTATCTTCTTATGTACTGTGATTCATTTACTGTGATTTATTTACTATGATTTCTATACTGTGATTTATTTACTGTGCATATTATTAATTTATTTATTGTGCATATTGTTGTGTCCCTTCTCTTGTTACTAATCCTTTGTATGTTACAGATGTTCGAGAACCATTGACGTTTGATATTTATTTTCTTATGTACTGTGATTCATTTACTGTGATTTATTTACTGTGCAAATTATGTATTCTATATGTATTGTATAATAAAAAATATTTTTCCAATCAGTTATTACATCGAAAGAAGACATCGATCAACGTCTACATCTTCAAAGCGTGCGTCTACCACTGAATAATCAAATTACAAAACGGTTTCAGTTAGAGAGGGCGTGCAAAATCACTAACGGTGATTTATCAGAGTAATCACCGAATCACGATCACGGTCGTGATTTAACTGCATTTACGACCGTTATTGCATTTTTTTATCTTGAGTGAATTTGCTCACTGCGTTCGTAAGTCCTTGATTTTTAAACAGAAAAACGTATTCAATATGATTTTACGATGAATTACATTACTATTTGTATTTGTAAAAATCATATGATGGATTAAATTTATTAACAAAATTGTTTAAATGTTCAGATTTCAAAGTAACAAATATTGCATCTAAAAAAAATTTAACCAACAATTTATTAATTTTTTCGGCATTAACATCGCCTTATTCTAGATTTTTTAAAAACAATGAAACAAATATAGTTTTAATCAATTTATATATAGTGTAGATAGAACATAAAAATTCTTTGCATAAATGAAATGGAATTTCTGTACTCGTCAATAATATAATTAGTAAATTGAAAATTTTACCTTCCATTGTTTGCTATTACAGTTGTAACATGCAATAATAATATCTTTAATGCTTAAACAATAGAAAACAACATAAAACCACCCAAAATTTCACTTTAAATAAATCTTATTAAAATTTTTTTTACGTTATAATACTTTATTTAGGCTATGATAAAATAAAAGTATTTTATGACATTGGTTATGTTAAAATTACGTTACTTATGTAATTTACACATAACGTAAATAACTTGGTTTCATGGGGATTTACCCATCACTGAGGTATATGCTTCCAATTATAATAACAACTGATTTTATTTATTTACAAAGGGAACAGAGTACCAACCGGTGTAGTGGACAAATTGTATTTCACCAGTTTTTCAGCTGTATTTCTTTCTGGCTTTTAGTCAGCGCACAGACAACGGGTAGGATGAAACAGATTAAATACACAAATGTCTTAGTTCCCTAAATGGTATTTATTTCTGATACATTTCACAGTTTGTGAACTGCCCAAACGACAATCCTGTAGCCATTCCCTCGCAAAGGAGACAGTAAATGTTAACACATTACCGTTCGTATAATATCAGTATTTAGACCTGCTTCGACAATGACGAAGGCCGCATCTAAACAAGATGACTGATTAACATTTCAGTAGCACGGTATTATTAGGTACGTACACGTAGGTAGACTTAATAATGTAACGACGCGTCGTTTCTGGACTGTGTCTGCTTCTTTAAATCCCAGGACATACGAGTAGTGTCTTCTCGTACTCATGCCTTAGAAAATTCATATTTTTCTTCTTTTCTTTATAGTACACATAGTTCTTGACTTCTTTTTAGATGCCTATGTAACGTGCGTTATCGTATCTAGTACAAATAACTATATAATAGTAATAAATACTTATCATCTACTTAACGCTTCTTTAAATGCATGAAGTGTAATAAGTTCAGAGAACAAAGTACATGCTTCTGCCAACTGTTCTTTGCTGAGAATCCGTTTTAGTAATGCATCGACCATTTGTCATTGAGAACTAAAATTGTGTATTGTATTAGATTGTGTATATAGATTACATAATTGTTAAAATTTCTATAGCATGAACGATATGAATTAAGGTGAGGGAAGTAACCAAAGGCTAACAGAATAAAATACGTCAGTCACAGTAGTAGAGAAACTGAATTGCCCAGAAAAACTTTAAGACGCTGATGATTATGAGAAATCAGTTACTTCTTGGGTGTACCTTTAACATTCCACTAAAAATATGCTTTTAGTAATATTAGTATTTCTCTGCATCTTACATGCTTTGATACCAATCACAGGTTTTACTGCATTTAAATGGTCAACAATTACCAATCGGTTAACTTCCATAAATTCTTACTTTTAGAAACATTTAATTTTAAACCTGCAATGCGTACAAGTTTCAAGCAAAGAACAGTGGCCGCTCACAGTTGTCAACGTCATTCTTTAAATATATCTGTATAATATACATACTTAAGACTTTATCGTTATTGTTTATCGTATGCTTAATAGTATAAACATTGATTCTTTCTCTCCCTGCCTCGCGTATTTACTCTATATATACATATATATACACCACCGACATAACCTCTCTAACCCTTCAGGCGTCAACCCAGTTTTGACACTACTGTGAGACGCGGCAAAGACCAAGAGGATAATTATGAACAAATTTAAAGGCAGCTTATCGCTAGATGGATTATATAGTTTTTCATCTCTTTTTTTTTCTTTTCTAATTATAGATTGGCATTACACACAGCGACATTACTTGAAATCAAGGTAGCGCCGAACCCTGTTTTTTTTTCTTTTACGTTTTCCCTGTTAAGAAATGCGTATATCCTCTATAGAACACCTCACGCGATTACAATCCTCGAAACTACAACTCCGATATAAGCCGTATATTTTTATCGCGGTTTAGAAATCGAACGCGTAACAAGTATCACTTTGAATCATCTGCAACTATTTATATCTATTGTAGAGAACGAAAGGCTCTGACCAGGCTCTTCTCAATGATCGTTCACATTTCTCCGAGCATCGATACTGTCGCTGAAAAATGAAAACGATCAGGGACAATTTAATAAACACGATATTCTCCCTGAAGGTTTATCAGAACGTGTACCCCGTGTTACCATCGCGCTTAACAACCTCTCCAGTATGTTCCGAAGTGTTAATACTAATTAGTAATAGTTGTCCTTATAAAAGCTTACTCCGTCACGTTCGAATAAAACATTAAAGCGTTGCGAGCCTAGCCTATAATTATAAGTAGGAAACAACTTTGTTCCGAATACTCTACTTTTTTTATTGTACTCCGTCCACCCATCTGTTTACAGTTACTCGCAACATTGAGCGTGTTAATAATACGAAGCGATCATTTTGTAAGACGGAAGAAGGAATATGAAAATAATTTTTGAAAAACTCAAGTGTTATTCGGATAATAGTTTGTTCATTGACATTCGTAGGGATAAAATAATCGTACTAGTACGTAATACTTCGGAACGGAAAGATACATTTAATTTATTTCTATTACGAGCCGTATACTCAACTTTGCGAATAACTATATATTTTTATTCTGTTTGCTTTTTTTTTTGTTGCAGTATTATATCGCATTGTTTAAATGACTGCCTAATTTCATAATTTCTCTCTTATTCCGAAATGAATTCTATGCCTGATGTAAAGTAGAGTCTCGGAGACAATAGCCGGAGAAAATATTAATTCTATACCGATTTCGACTAGGCAGCAAACACGGCCCTCGATCGACCGTCGATTCACACATCAATATTATCGCAGTTCCCTCGCATTCGAACCCGATCAAACAATACAAACAGAACGCGTGAGTCGACACTCACAATAATATATAATATATTTGGTGAAGTTCCGGAAATTGTTTAAATACAATACAAATGAACAATAAGCCGCATTTCAGTGTCGAAAGTAAAGCCGAATGGCTATAACTTGGATCAAAGTCTATTGGCCCGTTCGTGGTCATTTGCCATTTCCATTTCTCTTGTCTGTTCGTGTAAAAACTATAATTATAGAACAGATTCCATTTCAAATAAATTATTAATTTACAATACACAACGAATACATTTTCATCGCAATAATCGAAGGAAGTTCATTTTCCGTTTTTTTTTAGGGTAGAACGCAGTAATGAATATATACATAACTTACGAAATAATACTTTGTTTCAATTAAAAATCGTTTTAATTATGAATTTACAGAGTTGCATTCTTATTTGAATCGATAATTATTGGTAATTATGCATAAAGAGGGCAACCTCATGTATGAGCTTGATCTTGAGATATGTTGTCAAGGTCATTGTCGTGTGTAATCTTGACGTAGAAAAAATTGGCGGTCACGATCCGTTCAAAAGTTATGAACCGTTAAAGTTTTCGTTTCGTACAATACGAAAGTACGATATAATGCCAATGTATGACAACATATGTCAAGGTCAAGATCATACACGAGGTTGCTCTTTTTATGCATAATTACCTAATTATTTGTTATTCCATGAATAATATTTGATTTATTCGCAATCTCTAGAAATGTCAAATGGATAAGGGTGGATGACCTTCAACCATAAAAACGATTTTGATCCAATTATAGCGACCACAGGCAACGGCGAATAAATTTACAATCACCTTAGAGAAATTACAGTCCCGCAGATTGAGCTAAAACAGCTTCGTTTCTTTTCGTTTGCAAACGTGTCTCTTTGGTCTCGTGTATATATATTTCAAAATGAAATAAAAATTAAATTTTAATTCGCTTCCGGCGCATAATTATTATTGAGTCGCACGCATATAGCTCTAAACTCTTCGTCTTTTCAATTCTTTTTCTTTTTTTAATATTCTCTTCATATACACTTAATGACTAATAAACTTCTAATTTCAATAATTCTATTTCACAATACATATCATTGTGAGACGCGTGTGGTGTGTATGCGTGTGTGTATGTACGTGTAATTATACATGTACTAACAAATAATATGGCATTACAAAAATGTACATACAGTCGTAAGGACGTGATCCTTAATAATCGAGTATGCTAATAATACTATCGGTGTCATGCAATATTTAATGTCACATTCTGTTCCTCACGGAGGTTAAGGACCCATTCCTTTAAACATCCTAGGTTTATCTTTTTAACGTCGTTTACGTCTCCCGATGACGAGAATCCCTACGTGTGTATTACAAATACTTTTCTTTTTTTCTTCTGGAACGCGACTGTGTAGTAGAACTGTAGAGTATAGAACATATACTCAGCATTGGCAGTACGAAAAAGAAGTGTGCGCCAGATACTTTATGATTTGCGACGAATTAGAGGCTGGAACCGTTTCTCTCTTTCATTCTCTTTCTCCCTCTCACACATACACACACACTCATGCACGCACCGCGCTTTCTCTCTATTCTCCCGAATTGTGCACGTTCCCCGAACATAATTCTTACTTCGAACAACGAATACCTCTTCTACCTGGTAGAGGTCTGCAACGGACGAATATATTCGGGTCTGCCCGCCAGTTGCCCGTCGTATTTCACTTTGCCCAAGCTCGCCGAAATCCGGTGTCGGGCCAGCGTGTATACATATACATATATCTAGCGGCTAGATTCTAGCCGCCCATGCCCGCCCAAAGTTATCGCAGCGTGTGACTTCCCACTCGCGCCTGCGCCGTTACCCGTTGGCACTTGTGTCTTTAGCTACTTTATTTCACTTTATGAGAGAACAATGTGGCGTGCATTGTATCGAATTCAAGAAATTATGGATACATGCAAAAATTTGATTTAATTTGAAATAAAGAAACAACAAAAATACTTGTAACATGTTTTGTTTCAAAATATGTAATGTATACAATGTAACAGTAAAACACTACCACAAAAACATCTTTTATATCAAAATTTAATAAAAAGTTGTAATTATTCTTCTTTATTATACAATAGTATCACAGAATATAAGATTGATTTCAATGATATAATTTTAATGTACGTATTGATTAAAATTGCTGTTAAAGTACCTTGAAATATTATTAATAAACAAAAAAAACAAAACAAAAGCAATTGAAGAAATGGTATTTACGTGCATAAAAGTGCATGTAGGAAGAACTGAAGTATACAATGATAAATCAGTTCTCGCGTATGTACGGGCCGAGTGGGTCTTGCGTGGGTTCCACGGGTTGAGCTGGCATAGCACGGATGCGGGCGGGTTTGGGCGGGTTTGTGGCGCGGGCCGGGCCAGTCCGGGTAAAGAAAAAACGGCCGGGTGACGGGCGGGCTCAACCCGCCCGATGCAGATCTCTACTACCTAGTAGAATCGATACTAGCAGCAAGATAAACCAGTATCCGCTGTGTTATCTCTGGATATAAACGCTTTACCGTGATTCCGCGACGAATGAACTGACCCGATTGTATGCATCGCTTGCCCGACTGCAGTGCACGTACAACACAGTGCCACCTAACGTAGAATTTGTTCGTTAATCCGATTTGTAATACTAATAATTTATACTGAAATATATCTTATATCACATTTTTTTTTCAACATCGGCCTTGAAACCGTGAATCGCTCGCCTCCCCAGTTTTTGGATCGCGAAAGTTTCGCAAAGTCTCTCTCTGCCTGTTCCACCCAGAGTTCCAACTCCGAGGAAATCTAACCGTTTAATCAAGGCCATTCAGGGGACAAAGGGCTGCGCCACACCGTGTTATTTACTTCCTGCATTTTTTCGTCTAGTCTGGCTAAAATCCGTATCAACCTCTAGCCAGCCAACATCGAGGCAAGGGACACTGTAAATGAGCAGGTAAATTGTAATCACAGACGAGTAATAAGATAAACCTAAATTTTCATGAGAGTTTGTATCATAATATGTATACTAAAGTAGCGATATTGTAAAAAATTCACGGTATCGTGGCGCCCTCTATGAGAAGAACGGTGAGTCTGCTGGGGGAACTACTCCACACCACGCTGGAGTGGGATTTACCCCTCAATGGCCATCAATAGATTAAATTTTTTAACGTGCATTGTAGCTCCATTTGCATTCTCATTCCTCAAGGATGAATTGCGTGTGTAATTCATCCATCTTACTACCCCTCTCCTATCTCAAGCGGAACATACTCTAAAAGCTCTGATCGATACTTTTATACCCCGTGCACTCGGATGACAGAGTACCAATCCAGAAGGACCAATGTGTTCTCTGACAAAGGTGCCAAGCTGATTGTCATCCGTCTAAGACACTGTTGCACCAGGGCACAGAGCGATTCGCGGTATAATCGCGCTTCAATCGAAGCGGAAAGGCAACCATCCGAACAGTTAAGCCTTTCGTTTTAATGGAATCCAGTTTTAAAAGTGTCCAAGACGAAAGATAGACGTAGATACAAAAGTTTGAGGCCTACAGGTTTTTTATAGGAATGCCGGTCATACGCGGCAAATGGAGCGATTTTCCATGCTTAATCTTTCGGCTTCCGTATCCAACTTCTTCGGCCGAGGCTAGCGACACTCACGGAGCTGGCAGTACTGGATACACTTGCCAATGAGTTCAGGCTTACCGAATGTTAATCTTGTAACATATGTACAAAACTGATTGGGAACATTCCCCTTCGTTCCGGGGCTCGTTCTAACGCGCCCTCCATCCAGTTGTCGTCGTCGGTTTGCTCGTTGGTTACGATGATAACCTCGCCTTCTCGAAAGGACAGCTCGTCCTCGTTGTCGGCCTCGCAGTCGTACAAAGCTCGACAACGTCGTAGTCCGCTCAGGGTCGACAAGGTTGGCTAAAAGGAAATCAACCAAGGCGATGTTAGTATTAGTGAACAGACGTTGTTTGCTTTTCTTTTTTTTAGTTTTTCATGGACGAAGCAAGCACCCTTTTTAACTCCCTTGACGACTAAGGTCGTGTAATGAAATTCCGAGAAATAAATTTCATTTGTAGATCTCTGTTTCCTTCTTTGTATAGTTATTTTGTTTGTATTCATATCAACTTCTACAATATATTCCTGTTCTACCTTTGATGATTATCTTCATTCGACAGTCATTTTTAGACTGGATGTCGTCCGCAATTAAACTGTGTAGATACTTATTTGTACAGTTCTGTATTTACAACTGATATAAAGGGCATATGAAGGACACAGGTTGTGTGCAAGATACAAAGGTAATCGTCAAGGGGTTAAATTGTAAGAGCATTGAGAGTCAACACATATGAAGAATGCTTCCTTAGGTCACAAGGACAGGTAAATTGGAAATTCTAAATGGAAAAAACATAAGGAAGACAGTTTCTTTCCAAGAATGTACGCAGATCATGCACAGTTAAGTAAATATCCTTTAATTTGCTTTGTTTTTATCATTATGGGTACCATGCATAAAAGGAACTATTTTTTTTATAGAGTATAAGACTGTATGAGATGCTAACACATTGCCTTGATAACCTGTTGGTGTAGCTAGCTTGTAATGCCTAAACACTTTTTTCTTTGCAATGTAATATTAGTTTAATTCTCAAGTTAAGAGCCACAATTATAATAAATAACTGTCATTAAATAGGTAATGACAATAGTTGGTATAGATAAGCTTCAGTGAACTCGATTGTTTTCCCATAGTAAATTGATTGAAAAATCACTTCTCGTATTATCCGTATGCAACGTTCTGCAATATTTCTGTTGAAAAACTAGACAGGGACAACTTGTGTATTACTGTTTATTAGATATTACGTAATGTATTCTACTAATTGCTATTTAAGCAACATTAGAATTATCATTTTTATACAAAGCAATGTCTTTTATAAATTGTTTTAGAACATACAAATCTTTTTTCAATATTTTGTATTCAAACAATCTGCTTTAGAACAAGAAGTTTTATTTAAAAAGATTCTTGATTCTTCTAACGTATCTAATTTTGGAAATGTTCAGTTACCAATAGTTATTACACTACTTCATATATAAATAGCACACAGCTTCTGATATTGACATATCTCTAGCTATAAATACTATACGTACTGTTCTTAATAAAGATATTTGGTACTGTCCTCTCAAACCTAATGCTAACACTCTTTGATTACTTCACATTTAGAATTTCCAATAATAGATTCCTCTCGATTATCGTCCAGAACTCGGGTCCGCGCCGGGACAATAATCTTATAGGGAGAAATGCTTCAGATCTTCGTAAATCCGTTTTTTTGACCGAAATCCAAGACTCGGCAATAAAAGCGGAGGGGCAACAAAGTATGCGCTTGACAGGTTCCACGCCCTTTCCCCTCCACAGTGGTGGGGGTAACGACTGGATAATAATCGTGTAGAACAAGCTAGACGATAATCAAGAGGAGTCTGTACATATCAGTTTCATGCCTATTACAAGTATTTCTTAGACTCGATTCTTACATTTAAGCTATTAACACAATGTTTAGTTACAAAGTGGAAAGTAGATGTGGTACAGCTAATTTGAATCATTCCAAAAACAGGCATTTGCTCAAAATAATTCAAAAGAATTAATTATATATCTCATTATTTTGAGAAATGTAATACTTCTAACAATTATTGTTATCTCCATCTTGCTATTTCGTATTTGTTTTAACGAATATTAAGTTGTAGAACCATCTACATCTATGATTTACAAGAATGTAATAATTTATAAGATAATATTGAATACTTTCTCTCGTTTGTGATTTTATCCACTTTGTGAGTTCACGAGGGTAGTTTACATAAGAATAAACAGATAAGGGTTCAGTGCGTTCAAGTGCTATTGTTAAACACCAATTTGGGAGACTCATGCGAGAATTAACTTTCAAAGCACGCATCCTAGCATGGCAGACTTTCTTTAACGTAAATATTGCATCAACAGGTAGGATTAAGTATACAGGAAGCACGAATATTAGTCATTCAGTATTGATTATTATATATGTTCTGTTGTCACACATTCTATATTCATTAAACTTGCATGGTAGAAATCCAGGAAATAATATAACCTTGATCAGAACTGAATAAAACAATCGTTGGAAATCACAATTAAGGACAACAAATCTGGTGGATTAAAGTAAAATGTTACTTTCACAGAACTTATGCTCAAAGCACTGACAATGAGAAAACGATTGTTACGGACAGCACGACTGATCATGCAAAGCATTACCACACTTGAAAAGAATACACAATACTTGCAATATTTTATGTTTCCAATTAATAATCACTGGCTCAACAAGGAAATTTTATTGAAACAATTGTAGAAATGAAAATGTGACAATAGAAAATTTAAGTATTCAAGAATGTAATTTTAGTAAATGCACACACAAGGAAGTTAAAGTACACGTAATTTCTTTGTGTAAATAGAAAAACAAATTCTTCAATTATGTGACAGAACTACAAGGATTAACAAGAGCACATTTTGAAAAGCAAATTTTGTAACTTTCTGTTACTGCATTGTACATATTCTCGAATGTAAGGATTTCTTACAATTCTATCAATTCTGTTACTGTTCTGCTGAAGTATGTTACTTCGATGCTAAAGTACATTTCAAGTGTAGCAAGCTGTAATGTGGGATGGCTGATGTTTACCAGATTCAGATTTGGGAGCAAAGATGAAGGCTCCTCGGCGTAGCTCTCTAGTCTGGACCGGTCCCTTCGCTGTACCAACAATGGTTAATAACAAACCATAAAGCACTGTCTTTGAAATACATGCACGATCTAAATACCGATTCGAACGTTAAGAAAAGTTACAACGTGTTTCCCGAGTTTCTGTCGTGAGAATAGTATTTTCATTTAACATTTAAGTATTTTCATAGTAATCTCTTATATTATTTATTGACTTCCTTTTAAGACGGACAAAAAAGTTCCATACAAAGTAAGTTCTTATTTTCTAACAATGTTGTTTATTACATTGGGAGTATATTTTAATATGGCGTTACTCAATTTTGTAAGAATTATTGACAGTATTAGTTAATGATAATTTGGACATTTGCTCTGGCTTTCTTTTGACATGATACGAATGAATGAATTGTGCAATGTGAATGAAATATGTGCATTATATTATTGCAAGGTTTCGAAAATTTCAGAATGTAATGGAAATATGAAACTCATGGTTAATAAATATGAATGAGTACTATCAAAAGTTACAGGTAATAAACGTGATCAATAATGATATGCAAGGTACCACTGTCTATGAAAAAAAAGAATCGAACGGAAGCAATTATTAACTACTGCAAGGGGAACGCGTGTGGAGGTTAACATTTTGTGTTAGTTAAATTTTCTTAAATTAGTAAATATGTTAAATGAGCAATGACGATTTGAATGGATGTATATACATACACATATGGTGTTAAAGGAGATGTTAGAAATCTATCGGCATTGATACGATTGCGCCAAATAAAATACAAATAAAACATCATTCGCTTTAGCGTGAAATAATGATATTTTAGTAGGATTGCATTACATATCCGAAAATAATATTTAAAAATAAACGAAAACAACACACAGGAGTATTCCTCGATTTCCTTTTTCAATATTTCCTGATTTGTTCGTCGAGAGGAGGATCACTTTTTTCACGTATAAAAATATGTCAAATAAATCTGTAACTTACACGTAAGATTTACAACTTACTTTGCGCGGAGGAGGAACAGGATTACCCAAGCCGTGATCGGAACACATGGAACTCAACGACTCGCTGCTACGGCCGTTACTCAATCTGGAGGAATTGATGCCAGATGGCGCTGGCGGTGGAGGATTCCTCGGTCGTTGAAGCGTCGAGCTGTTCACTTTGTCCGCGCCTGACGACAAACGAAACGCGATAAGTTTCGGAAAGGAAACGTAGTTGAAGGATTTGGTACGGTTACCCGAGCCAGTCGACAGTTTGTCGAGAAGTTCGCATAAACATTCCAACGCACCGTGTCCCGTTGAAGAATCTCCACTGGGCGATCTTTTATGATGCTGACTGTTTAATGTATTTAACGCATGTGGTAGAGTATGTAAAGAATGCCCGGCTAAGATCGGTTCGCTGGTTGTACGGCTATGCGTTGACGCTGCTAAGGACGCGGACGAAGGTAGTGTACCATAATGAGAAGAAGGTATACCACCTGTACTTCCAACCGGTGGTGGTGGTGGCGGAGCTACACGTTTCTTCAGTGATCCATGGATATTAATCGAAATATCCGGTGCCATGGGCGCGGGTACTGAAACAAAACAAAAAATATGAACGGCATTTAGAACGTGTATCTTCTAAGAAACAAAATATAGAACAGAGTATCGCTATTCTGATATCAATTCGTTATCAAATCAACTGTTCCACACATCAGTGTTACCCTGTATAGGAAAGAATCGCTAAGAAGCTTATGCGTGATCAAGATGAACGAATCAGATTATGGATCGTTTTACAGTGATGTATGAAAGCGAACTTTCGTAGAAGATGAAATATTCAAAACGGTACTCTGAACTTAATACAGTAAATTAATTTAACAAATAGCAAGCCATACCAGCAACAGGTTTCCTTGCTTGCGGCGGCGGTGGCGGAGGCATTTGTTGCCTATTCGTCGAGGAACTTGGTGAAGAACCGCTTTGCAAGCTGTCGCAAGTACTACTTCGACTGCGAAGCGTCACTGGCGAGTCTCCTGATCCGGGACCTCCACCGCTACCACCGCCACCTACGTAAGATGGTGGCCTACTGCGGGATTTCTTCTCTGGTGTTAAACATCCATTCTACAAAGGAAACGATGAAAACATAGAGAAATTGTTTTAAAGAAACTGAATGGTTATTTCTCCTGTATCATCATACCCGGTCCTCTATTATCGTCTCGTCGTCGGAGAAGTCGGTAGAACCTTCATCGTGTGAAAGATTCCAGTCAATATTAACGTTGTCGAACAACGTTTTCTGTCTTTGTAGAGCGTGACTCAGCTGAACACAAACATTTTTAATTATTCTTCGTCGATTATATTGCACGATATTGACCCAACGTAAGTTACATGACAACAATATTTTTAATGTTTTACCAGTTCTTTGCAGGTATGGTGTCCCATTTCTTGCGCAATGTCAAGAGGCGTTTTATCCTGTTTGTTTCGATGCGTGGGATCGGCGCCTGCGCGTAACAATAGCTTCATTGCTTCTGCTCTGTCGTGCCTAGCGCACAGATGCAACGCCGTTTCACCATCGACGGTGGTTCTGTCTATACCACCCGACGACATATTTTGCACTAGAAAATCGACAATATGCAAGCTATTCCCCATTTCCCGCAAAATGGCTAAATGCAGTGCCGTTTCACCCAGATCCTGTAACAAAGCAATAATTCTTATATGGATTCTTCTCGAATGAGAACAGTATAATTTGTTGCACGTTTAGTGGTAGTTGAAAATAACATCCTTACCGATGTGGGCAACGGCGCGGCCAGGTCCACGTTTTCAGCGAAAACTTGCAGAAGTTGTTGCAAGTCACGATTGTTTACAGCATGCTCCAAATCAGACAGAAGATCTCGTTCATCCGCGCACGTGTCCATTACGTATCTTTTGTCCACATACTTGGCCCTTATGAAGTCGTATCTTTCTTCCCTGTACAGAAAGAAATAGGTTAGAATGCAATATATAACCAAGTATCATCAATCTGTATCGATCGGAGATAGGCCCTGAAAGCTTCAGATATTCTTATTGCGTAAATTAAGTTAGTTAAAAGTAAACCTATGCGCTTACATCGTCGACGTTGGTGTCGGTTTATGAATCTGATGTAACGTTGCCTCCATCACTTCATTGAACGCGTGGTTGGTCATGTGCCGTGCGAGAAGTAGTTGCGCTGTACCCACGTTATCTAATGTTAGGGACTGTATTCTGGATATGTGTACGCCTAAGTCTCGATGGATACCGCTGCATTCTATGCACACGATTATACCAAAATTTGTGGACAACCATGTGGCATCTGAAAATGGCCATAACGATCACCTTTACATACGTATCCATAGAAAACAATTATTACCTGTTTTAACTATAATATATTAGTGCCTGGGAAAAAAAAGTACTACATCCTTATGTTTTTGGTCATTTTTTCCGATAATCCGCGACAGTACAGAGAGTGGAATATGGCATTTGACAAAGATAAAAAGAGATACATCCGACACAGTACTAAACCTTTGTCCCTCGAAACGTATTTTCATAAGAATTACCATTTTGCGACGAGCAATCACAACACTGATCATTTCCTGGTAGCCTCATGACACATCGGATCACGGCCTGTTGTAGTTCGACTAAACTTGGATTCCCGGTACCAGCCTCCGCTTTGCCGCTGGCATCGAATGCACGAAGCAAAGCACGTTCTTTGCAGTTGACCAGAACAGACATCCATGCTCGTTGATCCGTCTCGTCTTCCGCTTGAAAGTGATACGTTCTGTTGTCTGAAACAGAACAAGCTTGATTACATCCTGGTATCGGATTTAACATTCAAGATCTTCACTACGCGACGTTCGAGTTACATTTACGGCGGGTTAATATGCTGTAGTTTAGCAATAATATGGGTAGTAACATTTAAATATATCACATTGTGGCCAATGTATTTAACTGTACATACACACACTTTACACACTCTCGAAGTACTTCGAGCAGTATCTGTTAATGATGCTTTGGTAATAATAGGATTGTGGACTTCACGCATTAATAATAGCACACGCGATTGTTTAAAATTTAGCATAACAAACGGCTTATTAAAGTTCAACGAGGTTTTCACGTTATTTAGGATTTCATCGCTCTAGTTCTTAATTGTTCCATCTCCACTAGTTTTTAAACTGAGAAAACTGAGTTTACTATTATAGAAGCAGGAAAGTAGTGAAATAATCAAACACAGTATAACATCATCTACTGCAGCGTTTCTCAACCTTTTAGTATTTGAGGCCCAACTTTCCATCAGTTTCATTCGCGCCCCCTTCCAATGATTTTTTTTAGCCTTAATATTTTTGAAATAGTATAAATAGTTTCTTTTTCGAATTTTTTGTCTTTTTCATGTCTTCGCCCCCCTCCTTGTTATTTTGCGCGCCCCACTGACTGAGAATCACTGACCTACTGAAACATAAATTTTTAATTGTTGTTAGTATTTGGAAATACAACCATTAAACAAAATTTTTTCAAAGTTTCGGTGTTTGGACTTAAAAGAATATTTATTGTTTTCTCGGTTGAATTTTTTTTATATTATGATTGTGAATTTGTATTCTTCGGACCAATGAGACGTACGTAGATTGATTGACTCAATTTTGTTGAAAAATGGAGTTACAGTTAAGAACTCGGGCGACGATTAATACGCATCCACCGGATTTGAACTTACAGCTAATGAGATCAAAGCCCCTCTTATCGTCCGGCACTAGCTTGATTTGACAGGTTAATAAATTCACTCTCGTCGGTGGTTTATTTTCGTCCGCGTGACAAATATCGAGATAACCCTCCGCTTGTACGGCACACCTCCTTTTCTGCCACACCCTCCTCATTTTTCCCTCGCTCTTCTTCAACAGATGCCCGGACCGTGTGACGCCGTGCTGCTTGTCCCCTTGGAGTTGGTGAAGTGAATACCCTGTATTCGCGTTTACATTTAACTGGAAATCATACGGTCTTGAATACTCATTGGGCAAGTTACTATGGGGTAAATTCGAAATCCAATTTCTCCAAATTTTACCTCTTTGTCGCAGCCAGAGCTCCTCAGGAGATTCCTTAATTCTGTTAATCGCCTCCGTTCCTCGTCCTGGGTTTGCCTAATCTTCTGTAATTTCACGCTGAGGTCCGCCACGTAGGAACCGAAGTGTTCGATGGTCTTTAGGCCGTCTTGAAAGTAACTAAGGTAATCGAGAGCACAACTTGAGTAAATTCAGTGCGAAAGGAAGAACAAATGATGAAACACAAATGTCTGATATTTTGAGGTTATTCCCATATAGACAATTTTCTCTCTATCTATATCTAGAACTCTCTTAGCTTTATCACCGTATTTTTCTTATAAATTTGAATTTGTTCATGTGCCAACTTTTTTGGTAGGTCTAGTGAATTCAAAATTGAATAACAAACATTTTTTAAACAAAACTTTTCTTAACAATATATCATCCAAAGAGTCTACTGAGTTAAACTGTGTAATCTGATATTTCTTTTACTCCTACACGAAAATTCAGGACTGAAAGGGTTAAAGTACTTTTTTTCTTAGTACGATACATTCCAAAAATAGGCATACACGATGAATGATACGTATCAAAAATATATATAAATCCGAAGTCGCTCAATTTGCAACTTGTGATTTTTGAAAAAACAATTTATCTCGCAATTTTAGATAACAAAAGTCGGCTGAATTGCGATAAATCTCGCCCAATCTGACAATACTGGCTACAAAAATATTCATCAATGTGACTAGTGGCGTGAGCATACCAAGTGTTCTCATCTACAATATAGTATTCCATTCGTCTTACTTCGTTTGCGCATGGTAATATTCGACTAGATGCTGAAGCAGTTCAATGCCTTTCTTCGTTTTGATTTCGTTCACCTTGATCAGATACTGTAACAGAGAAACGGATATAGGAGTCAGGCTGTCAGCAATCATCGGGGTGAATAGAGGAACACTGATTCGTTCCAGGGACGATTAAGGGGGTATTCCACTGAAGTCAGTTAAAAAAATCGATTTTCTTTTTCTTGCATTTTCTTACAGCTTGAGGTCCTGAAAATGTGTTCCTCAAGCATTACGGCGAATTTTATAAAATTGTCATACCAATAGAAGAATAAAGAACGACGCGTACACTGTGCGCCCATACCACATGCAAACTTTAAACGCGTTTTTCTCAAAACTGTGTTTTGGAAACTATGATTGCCACGATATCTCAAATTCTACTCGATCGATCGGACCCATTTTGTGCACACATCTTCAGCAGATGTGTCTCGCTATCGTCCCTACCGGAATTAAGCCAAAATATTTTTCTTTTCTCATTTTACAGTCCGAAAAGGACGAAAAAATATCGCAAAAATTTATATACTTAATTTTCAAATTGTAACCATTTAAAAAATTTTTCATATTTCTTCAGTTTCTTTATTTCAGATAAACAGAACACGGTGAAAATCATGGCGACTAATCGAGCAGTCTTTGTCGAGGTGGTTGACCTTCATGGGCTGCATCGCCATATTTAATATTCAACCCTAATTCGCATTTACAGTTTAAGATATAATAAATATACAAGAGAAAGGTTCAACATGAAAATCTTTCATTAGGCCCTTAAAAAAAGTTCCTGAAAAAAATGTTTAAAATCGCATGTCACAGTAGAATACCACCTTCTAAATGGGGTTAGGTGGGCGAGGGCCTCACCTCGCACATTTGCAATTGAAACAATCGTCTCTCTTTTTCCATCTCATCGGCGATCTCGGCCGGCGTCACTTCCGTCCGAATGAGGCCAGCCTCTTTCGCATGTTGCTTCTTCTCCTTCTCGATTTTCGCGTACTTCGCCTCGTAGTCCTTCCACGCTTTCTCGAACGGTCGTTTCAGGTCCCCTTTAACACCTCTCAGGTCACCCTTGAGCACCGAGTCCAGCGGGAACATCACGATGTTATTTATATTCTGCATCTGTGCTCGCAAAAAAAAAACAAAGAGGGTAAACAACACACATGATTAATCGGACGTGATCCTCGATTTGGAAGAACAAAAAAAAAAGCACACAAAACCGTTCAATATTAATGTGAATGATGGTACAATCGCTGATGATTTTTCTCGAGTTGCATACATCCTAAAAAGTTCTTAGAAGTGTACATGAGAGAGGGAGGGGGGGGGGCAATGACTCTAAGTGATTTGAAACTCGAATTATCTACTAAAGTATGGACTTCTTGCAACAAAGTTGTAGAAACATTTGAATGAAAAAGATTTCGATAAGATGTATTTTACATACTGGAAAATATTTTCTCTCGACTCAGGTATGTATGTGTGTCTTTTTAAGTCACTTATTTTGTTAACACTGATACGATCATTGAGCCTCTTTTGGGCGAAACCACACTTTATATTTTAACACGTGTTTTCGTATTTTCCTGTATATCTTGAGAACTATAGTAGATATCGAGAAATTGTCCGAATGAAAGTTTAATGGCTTCGTATGCTCTATAAAACCGTACAATTGTAAGGAATCTACGCGTTCCGCGTCGGATCGACGGTCACAGGAACCGCGCGTATCGCGATCGGATAAGGTGTCACCAAAGAACGAGTCGGCGCGTGACTTTGTCGAGCCGCCAGCTTCGATGAATCTTGCGTTTCAGCGTCGATTAAAGACTGAAGCCGTCCTAAACGCAATAGCCGATAGTCACCAGGCGAATTCGGCGGCATTATATGTAAGTGTGTGTGTGTATGTGTGTGCTCTGAGAACATAGATATAAAGAATGAATGCGAGGACACGAGGCAGTCAGTCTCGATCCGTCGAATACAGGAGAATAAACGATTTCAATATTTAAGACGTGTCCGATTCTTTTCCCCGCTCGACATCCTCCACAATGTAATTGTTAAAATTTTGTTTAAATAAATAAACAAATTTTTAACAATTTTATTACACGGCTTTATAGAGTATGAAAAGAAATGAAATTTTTATTTTGAATAATATTTTCATAGCTACTGTAGTTTTCAAGATATACAGGAAAATAGAAAAACATACATTAAGGGGTGATTTCACCCTGAAAAACCGAATATATGCGAAAATGAAAAATTGCTCGATGCTTCTAACGAGATCCCTTACAAACCTGCGGAGTTTAAAACAAAAATCGGAATTTTCGGGATACCAAAGTTCCAGAAATATCTGTAGCCACTGGAAGAACGGAGGAAAAGGTTAGAACGTGAAAAAAGTTGTAACCTAGTACAGTGTGACACGTGTATTCGAGATTTTTGTACTGTTTATCTAAGTAAGTTTTTTAATAATAAATAATTAGGATATAATCTGTGTTATATAACTCCCCCAGTTCTCCAAATCCCACACACACTCCTAGCTCGCTATGACAAGAGGATATTGATTCTGTTGATTCTATTAACACTAGAATTACTACCAGCAGTGAATGCATATTAAATTAAATTGTCTAACAGAGAATAACTTATTAATTTATATAATACATAATACAATCTATCGTAATAAAGTATCATATAAAAAGTTTCATAAATTAGAAACCAACATAAATTCCAGCAAAAGTACTATTATAACTTCAATAATCGTAAAATAAGAAACCTGCAATCCGTCATTTTGAAGGGTTTTGCTAGTTCTAGTGGTAAATTTCTCTTCTCGAGAGCAGTGCTTTGTTCAACGAACGATTTTATAAGAAATGTTTCGTGCACACACCAGAGTCTTCATTAGAGCGCTCAATTCTTTTGTGACGACCGCAAACTTCAAGAAAGCAGCCCCGATATCCGGTTCCTGTTCTTTGAGCGCCGCATCGCCGAGCCTCTCCAACGCCCTCCCAAGGTACACCTCGTTGTCGACGTGAGCTGTTGCAGAAAAGAATGGGTTCATTGAACAAAAAAAAAAAGAAGAACCGTTTGCTATAACTTAATTCATCATTTTATGTAATTTAACAGATTGTTATGATTTTGTTTTATTTAAAAAAACACAAAATGTCCACTCAACGATCACTTAACTTTGCTCTTATTTTAGGTACAAAATTGCCTGAAATAGAAAATACTCTCTTACTGTTTATTAAACTTGGTTTTATCGTTCTCTGGAAAACAAATAATAAATCTAAATTTTTTGTTCTTTTATTTATAGCCTCAAATACTAAAATTTCCGTTTACAGTAAACTTTTACTACAATATGCTTGTGTCCGAGGCGATTTCAAGTCAAAATATTAAAGTTTGTAATTACATAATTAATTCATTTTTACACATTACTTGCAGTATTTAACACCGGTTTTTCAAATTTAAAAACCGATTTTCCAATTTTACGAATTCATCCAAAAACTCGGGTTTTTAAAAACCGACAAACCCTTAGTCAATGCACGGTGTTTGCGGAATGGGCCTCATTGGTTACGAAAAGGGGCCAACAGAGAGTAAAAGGTGAAAATAAGGGCGACTTTCCAGCCTCTCTCCTTTTCTTACTCACCGTTTCCAGAGTTGTGAATGGCTTTGATCGCTTTCTTCAGCTTCGTCAGGCCGTCCCTGTCGAAGTCCAGCGTCTGCAACAATTAGAGATGGTGTGTAAAATCACTAACAGTCCATTTATCACAGTGATCGTGATATTTTTTTTATATCTCGAGTGAATTTGCTCACTGTGATCGTAATTATTAATCGTTAAAAAGAAAAAGCAATATAAATTGAAAATTAATAACATTACTATCTGCGTTTTTAAAAATCAGTAGAAAAAAAATCATAAAAAAACGATTTGCTATAATTATAGAATATATTATAGGTTATGTAACATATAGATTAGAGTTTATAATTATTAACTCATTCATTATTGTTCATTGTTTCGCATTATTCCTTCGCTTTACGCGATGTAACTCGGATTTTTGATGTCGTTAATACAAAATATACATGTTATGTGTACTTAGAAAGATGGATTGGTTTGGTTAGTCTAGATATTTTTAGGGCCACCTTGCGTCGCAAATCTTTGTGCCCCAAGTTGAATATTGTAAGAATATCTCTGAAACTAAGTATGCTTGTACAAATAATATCTAATAATCAATATCTACATACATATTTATTTATTATGTATATTATACATTACGTATATTGTATATAGTTTATCCATATGTTTGTTTATGTTTTATATTAAACATTTACATAAATATTTAAAGTATAGTATTGTATTTTATTTTCTCTCAAGGTATGAACAACTTTTGTGTTAGGTATCAAGGTTAGGAAAATATAATTCGATACAAGTAGATATCGATAATTTTTGTTTCGATACCGAGTAAGTATCGATACCTTCACACAATACCAGCAATAAGTAAAAGTATCGATACTTTGACAGTATCGATTTAACCCTATTCACGAGTAGCAGTTTACGCTATCTCAAGTGGCAACGGTCGAACGAGAAAGAAAGTTTAAATCACCCGCGCGCGCACACACCACACACGTGCTGTGGCGCGATCGTTTCCTTTCAAACACTTCATGCGGCAAACCGAGCAGAAAATCCATAGACGTATATGTATGTCCTGGACCCCAAAGCCAAAGTGTATTAGGTCACATTTTTCTAATTTTACAGGAGAGAAAATCAAAGGTGGAAAAACTTTGTGTAGCTGTTGGAATTGTTCGGTAAAGCTGCGTCTACACTATATAGCATAACATGTTATATAGCAAAGTTATGAAACTTGTTAGACGAACAGAAAGAAAAATGTTACATAACATTTTTCGTGTTAAGCTACGTTTACACTATATGTAACAAAATAGTGTTGTATAACAAATTGTTATATAACTTTGCTATATAATACGTTTTAAAACTTGTTACAAGATTATACCTTCTGGAAAAGTCTGTAACAAGTTTGTATAACATTCCGCAACACGTTATTCAACAATGACGTCTTCCTTGAAGGATAACATATAACTTGCTATATGTATAATACGAAAAATGTTATGTAACATTTTCCTTTCTGTTTCTCTAATAAGTTTTACAACATTTTTATATAACGTGCCATGCTATTATAGTGTACACGCAGCTTTATGTAGCAGGTTACGCGTTATCCATGAAGTGTGATGCCATTATTAGTAATGATACACGAAATGTTGTGCAGACTAGTTACAGACAGTTGTCCAAACGGTATAATCTTGTAAGAAGTTATAAAAACATGTTGTATTACAAAGTTGTATAACAATGTATTATATCACATTGTTTTGCTATATAGTGCAGACGCAGCTTAAGAATTGGACGAGAAATAATTACGCTACCTTCGAACTATCGAATGGACTTAAGACAAGTCTCGATATACATATAGAAGTAATGAACATATTGGCATTAAAGGTACGGTTTCACATAACAGTAAAAGTCATGGTTTTTGTTAGCCGTGACGCTGTATCACACAGGTCTGGATTAAGATTTCTTGTGGCCCAGGGCTATTAAACATTCGAGGGCTCCCTTGGTAGAAAAATGGGAAACAATTTTTAATTATTTCAAAATGGAAACAGTAAACAAAATTTCATTTAATTATTTTTTAACATAAACGGTAGGCTTAGATCGGTGCCCCCTTTGAAGGTTCGGTCCGGGACTATAGCCCTCCTCCCCCCGCCCCTAGTCGTCACCAGAATTCGGCGCTGATATCACAATGTAAATCACTGTCACGACAACGCGACATCTAGTTCAACAGACTACCGATATTGAAATTTTCGTCAGTATCATAATTTTTATACGGTCGTTTCATTGTGTATCGCCACAATGCGTCGAGGACGTGCGCGTGCGCAGGCACAATGCTTCAGGTCCGACCACGGCTATTAGAACGCAAGAAGGAAAAGCAACAAAACGATGACGAGGAGGAACAAGAGGAGGAGGAACGGAAAGGAAAGGAATTCCCGTGCAGAACGAAGAAACGATACGCACGTTTTATCGGATCATGCTCCGCCGAGCGGAAGATACGAATATCTTCGTTCGTTCGCGGGAGAGCGCTTCGGTCTTTCCTTATCGGCCGATTTTTGCGTTCTGCGCGCCGCGCTTTCACGATTTTCAATAAACCCAAGACGGAGGGGGAAAGAAGAGGAGATACATACACACACACACCTGGTAAAAGTATATGGGAATTCTTGTCGATCCTCCTGTCTGAGCGGCGAATAGCTACAATTAAATCTCCTTTTTCACGAGTATACGTATTACACCTGGGCAATCCGCGGCGAACCAAACAGATTCCACAGCTTATCCTGCTACTAGAAATATTGAGCCTGCGTGAACTCTTAGGTCCGTTTAACTAACGAGGTGTGATTTCACACAAGGGGATACAGGGTGTCCCAAAAATTATGGGACAAGCTGCAACATGAAGAATCTTCCTCGTGTAAATACAAAGCGAGAAGTCCTTTACCGTTTTCTAATCCGGAACTCCATTTCCGAGATATTCACATTTGAACGAACACCAATCAGCTGAGCGGTCGGCCATACCTAACCAGCGCGTGACCCAGCTGACTGGACTCGGTTTCTTGACTGTATCTGCGCGTATGAGTGACCGACAGCTCAGCTGATTAGAGTTTGCTCAACTGCGAATATTTCGGAAACGAAGCTCCGGATTACAAAACGGTAAAGGACTTTTCGATTTGTCGTTGCACGAGGAATATACGTGTTGCGGTTTGTCCCATTATTTTGGGATACACTGTATTAACAAGGAAAGAAACCCACGAGGGTTCTGTAATATTATATGTGTACTATAACTTCCACGCAGTGCCGTTCCAAAAGCGATTTCCATATCCGTGCCTTCCCCTTGTATGGTCTGTCGTCCAGCTGGGGACGGTATACGCAATGTGATGGAGCGATGTTTGTTTACGCGCGCGTGACAGTACATGTGAATGGAAAGTGTCCCGTGCGGCAATATATCAAGAGTCAATTGTATTAATTAATTCGACAGCTGTGTGTGTGCCTCGACCGTCAGTAATTCGAAAAGGAGACTTCTTTTGATTCTTTCGATTATACAGTATGTAACAAAAGTGTTGTACCTCTTGAAATGGGTCACTCGTTTAATGATTTGAAACAAGTTTTTCCTTAGCAAAAATGTTATCCGAGGCTTTGTTAACGAGATATTAACGAAAAACTCTGACCAATTAGAGCTTCGCCGGCAGACTCGCGCTCTGATTGGTGGGGGTTTTTTGTTAATATCTCGTTAATAAAGCCTCGGATAACATTTTTGCTAGGAGAAATTTGTTCCAAATCACTACACGAGTAATCCATTTCAGGGACCTACAACACTTTTGTTACACCCTGTATATCGTGATGAATCTCGAGGGACCAAGAGACGGAACCGGATCCGTCAGTTACAAAACGGGCGACGCTCCGCCGCCAATGTGAATGGGGGAAATTCCGGAATGAACGGTCTACCGTATCAGCGTAACGTGCTCAACGACACATCGCGATAACGATCTCGATACGATCACCTGCCCGGAAAAGAATAGTAAGCAAGTACCACCCTCGCCGGTAACAATACGCGCGGTCCTTCTTTCGCGACGCCATTGAACACCAGACTGATCCAGAAAGCTCACTTCTCGCTGCGTCGATAGTTGTTCACAGTCGGACCATTTTGTTTATGATTGAACCGCGGTCCTTTACACGATCGTTTCTCTATAACGAATTATTACAAACAGAATTGCAGTTTTAACTTCTTCAGTGACGAATTTATTAACCCTTGGAGTACGGTGACCGGGTCCGTTAAGACCAAAGTGATTAGGGTGGCTCACATAAATTTTTAATTATTGTAAATTTATTTGAAAATTTAACAGAACATTCTGAAAAACTCCAACTTTCGATTGCTACCAAAAAATCGCAAGGTCAACAATAAAATTATTGAAAAAGGAACGTTATAAAAATGTCTTTATAACACGATCCTTATGGCACTGTAGTTGATAATGAGAACTTAATCACTTCTTATTTAGTTACAAAAACTGACATTTTCATAAAAAATTAGGTGGTTATCGGCGAAAGTCAGGAAACCTGCCCCCCCGCCCCACCAGACAAAAATCCTAGTTACGTCAATGAGTGACGCTTGAATGAAAGAAAAACTAAACATATGTACACATACGTGTTAATATTCTTCAAAAGGTTAACCGGGGTGATTCAAAGTACAGTAGAAGCTTGTTTATTGCAGGCTACTTTATTGCAATATAGGAACGTGTTTCGTTCACACATATTTCTTACAGACATGCGCGCCCGATTTTGTCACCCAGCAAGGAAGGAACGCAATATGTACGGAATCGCGTATAATTCGCGTATATTTTTCATAAAAAAAAGTTCGGTATATAGAATATCGTTTTAATACAATATTTCAATACTAAATATCTTTGGTGAATAAAATTTCTTGATATCTAAAAGTAAGATCAAATTTTTTGAAGTAATTTATAAAGACAAGCGCAATCGTAGAAATCAATTTTCTCTCTTAAGTGTCTTATTGCATTCGGAATAAAATAGAAAACTCATTGGATGTGATGAAAGTGTTGGTTTTTATTATATTTCAAAGAGCCTTATAGGCTATAAATGCATAAAATCCGCAGT